TAGTCTTTTTAAAATTTCAATCTCTTTTCGTTTTCAAGATAAAAAATAAAAACATTATTTTTCCGCCATCTTTGTACCGCGATATCTCCCTAATGCTTGACTTTTGACCCAACGTTTATAAAGCAAACTACCCTTTATTTTGAACAAGGAATCACCCCCTAAAGTTTTTCGCATTTGTTTTGAAACACCCTGTATAGGTGTATATAGGTGTTCTTACGACGAATGCTCAGAATTCCCTGGACTGCCCGGCGAACCAATGAATCCATAATCCAAGAACTGAACATCACAGAACGCCTCTCAACTTCTATACAGTCACGTGTACTTAAATATTTCGGTCACGTTATGAGGAGGGATACTGAACCTATGGAAAAACTCATTATACAGGGCAAGGTTCCGGGAAGAAGACCAAGAGGCCGCTCGCCCTCCCGATGGATAGACCAGCTATCAAAGATCACTCACAATGCCTACGCTTGTACATGAAGCACAAGACAGGGAATTATGGGGACAAACCTCACACATCACCTGACCACTATAAAGACAGAGAGAGAGAGATATGTGTTCTTGTAATTCCTGTAACGTTTTTGCAACTAGAGCGCAGTCATCAGCGTATTGAAGTTCTGTGGTGAATTTTTTATTTGTTTTTGCCTTTAGTCTTTTTATGTTGAACAGACCGCCATCATAGCTGTATCTAACACCCATTCCTGTTTCATGCAGTTTGCTGTCCACTATAATAGAGAGCGTTACCATTAATACCCAAGCAGCATTTGGACGTCGGGACAACGTTGTGTCACGCGACCAAACGTCGGGGCGCAACGTCGGCACAACCTCGTGCCAACCCTAGTCTGCACTAGTTTGGAGAATAATTTTTGGGTCGAAACGACGTTGGATACCGACGTTGGCTAGAAGCCTAATTTAGTAAAAAATGCAACGTTGTTTAAAATCCTAATTCACAGAAATACAAAACTAATATGGCGTCTAAGTCGCGTTTTATATTAAATTGGGATAATTATAGTAAAAATATTATTTTTACGATTTAGTTAGAGACATATGTCAGATGGCAGTGAAGGAAAACAAAAGAAAAGTATTTAAGTGTGGAGGATGTTTGAAGATCATAATTAGTGAAACGCTTTAACCGACTCTGTAACTCGATACCCAAGGCAAAAAAGTTAAACGCCAACAACTTTATTGATAAATGTATTGTTTCTACTTTGAAAAATACTAATGGGCCTTAAAATTAAAGAAGTTTTAAAAATTTTCTTGAATTTTTTTTTAGTAAAATGAAAATAATTTATTCGCAGTCGAAAAAATTGTTTCCGCGTGTTTTTTAGGGTCAAATATTTCAAGTTAATGGATTCAAAAAGCAGGAATTGCTATTTTAGGAACGAAATATTTTCTTATTTAACAACATGGCGGTTTTCACTTTGTTGTTTTGGAGATTAAGATGGAGTAGTTCGAGTAGTCGCATACTGGACTAATAAAGTCGCAGTTCGGCCTTAACAGGTAGTATACTAGTCGCAAGATTGCCTAATTTAGTCATCCTAGAATCTAGCTTGTGCCGCCCTCTATAATCTAAATAAACGAGGGAGTGGATAAACTATCGGTAATATATGTCGATATATATTTAAATTTAGTTTTTTATGTACCTTTCTTATGTCCCATTTTAATTAAGTTTTTTTTATAAAAACAAAAACAGCACTGAACTGTCTGACTGAACAGAACAATGAAGTGAAAATTTAAGATTTAAGGTTATGGTTCAATACAGTTGCATAAAGGTAGTGACTCGACGTCCTACCAACGTAAGAATAAGGAAATCTAAACAACGTTGGAATTAGTAAAACAGACGACGTTTGCATAACGTTGGAATAGGTCCTGAAACTGACGTCGGAAAACTTTATATTGTCCAACGTTGTAACTACGTTGTCCGAATCACCTAAAGATCACTTAAGCAAAAGGTTAGAAGACAACGTTTATTCGACGTCGCAGAAGCTTCCTACTTTGCTGTAGTACTAGTCCAACGTCGGCACAACGTTATAAAAACGTTTAAATTTATTTTAATACCCAAGGTAGGGAGCTAACTATTTTTTGTAACTAATCCAACGTTGTGTTTGGTAAACATGTGGTCGCAAGTCGTGAAAATGCTACTTGGGTATGTTGAAAAGGAGAGGCGCTAAGACACATCCCTGCCTAACTCTTGTATTTGTCAGGAAGGGATCGCTCAGTGATTCATGATGCGGCACTCTAGACTTGATGTTGTTATGGAGGCTTTTACATACTGTAAAACAGGGAATTAAGAATTTTGAATCCCAGTTCTTTGATGTCAAAAGAACCGGGAATTCCCGGTACTTTCGGTATTGCCGGCATTTCCTGGTTCTGAACACTAGTGTGGAGGGTTGACTTAAAGAAAAACTTATTATTGTAGTCCCCCTGGATAAATAATAAAAAAATACCATAGTAATAGTATTGCGGAAGATTCAAACCATGTTGAAATGATTGTTAAGTTTGCAAATTTTCATATAAGAGTCGGTATAGTACAAGTATAGTGAAAAATGGCTTGCAATTATTGAAACTGACAACTTGAACCATAAAACACTATTTTTATGACGGTTCATAAAATATACCCTTCAATATTTTTCATTCTTCTTTTATGTCAATGTCGCCAAACACGAGCCTGGTTATCGGATGCATATTCATTTTGTTTTTTTTGTGGGTCAAGTGCCAAACACAATCATTTTTAATGGGCTACACAATTGATTTTAATATCGATTCATTGTCAATCTACATACATACCAGACACGTACATATTATACATACAAATCCATTTATGCAATCGGTATAATTGATTTTAGTCGTTTGCACGTCCTTTGCGGCGTTGCCGAAGCGACGTTCCCGTCGTAAAACTGCCGAAATAATCCCCAGGTGTCGAGTCAAGGGCCACAACGAAGGTTGCCGACCTTGGATGATATATAGGTCAAGTTTGAGAGGTATTTATATGAAAAAACGTGATCGGTAGGTCGTTCGCTGGAAGAAATAGTACCTTGTCTTATTACCGGTACGACTTTTTTACGTTTTGGTACGTTTGCGTCCGCTTGCGCTCGAAGATTTTATCGATTGTAATCGCGAATGAAGGTGACAGTAGTGATTAACGGGCGGGAATATTGATAAATAATAATAATGCATTATTGTCGAGTTAAGGTTTGTTTTTGTTTTTTTATGTCATTGATACTGGTTATTTTATGGGTTTATTGGTACCTCGACACGCAAAATGTGTAGTAATTGAAAGTAATTTTTATATGCGTCCAGCGTGTATGTATTGTGCGAATTAGAGTTTTTAAAATTATGCATTAAAATTAATTTAAAGAATCTGTGATTTGTAAATAGAGTTGGCTCACCAAAAATTAAATAATATGATTAACTCTCTGACGATATTCAAATTTGATTTTCATAATAATGTGAGACTAATCAAAAGGAAATGAGAATTGGATTTAATCTGGAGGTTTTCTCATTTAATTTTTGAAGACTACAACTTACGATTTTAAATAGCACCCACGGTATATTTTTACTTTATTCGATAGAAAATGACACTCTGAATAGAATGACCTATCATATGTGTGATAGTGAGATATACCAAACATACCAAATTTCATTTTTTTATCTGAAAAAATAAAAAAGTTATAGGGATGAACCATTTTTGAGACGCACCCAGTATAATTCCTAATAGTTTCAATCCAACGATCAACTAGGACTATGAAAGAACTATAAAACTGTCAGTAATATTACAGTAGTACGAAAAATAATATCCTCAACTGATTCGTGCAATTTTCTGAGCCGCTCTGGTACATAATATTTCTGTTTTCAATTTGCAAGCTCATTTAATGCATCGTATTTCAAATTTACACAAGCAGTAAAATTAATCTTCCGTTATATATACATTAAATCTAATTTTAAATCAGAGTTTTCTCGCTAATGAGAATTATTGATTTACCTTGATAGAAACATACTAAAAACCTACATAAAATATATGTAACAATGTAATAAACATCAAAAAAATGTTTGTAAATAAGTTAATAATTACCTATTATCGCACACTAGGAACTATTATCTCTTTATCTTTCACAACTTCAAAAGGAATTCGTAAAAGCTATTGAAAATGAACAATTTGCTTCATTTTAAGGAGTTTTTCTTAAGTTTTAATTTTTCTTAAAATTAAATCTGTTTTTCTGAAAGTAAACATAAAATAGGGAAAACTTATTCACCGTTCTTACAATTTACATAGGATTTTCTATGTTCAGAGCGATGATGCAACACAAAGTAATAAGATAAGCAAACATCTAAGTAAGAATGCAGATTTCTATACTAATGATCGTAAGTCGGCAAGCTGGTTATAAATAGGCTGTACCCTGCATATACGATATAAATATAATAAGCAATTTTTGTTATAGAAAAATAGAAATATTCGGTTTTGGTTTATATTATTATTTCCTTGGTATAAGTGGAATAATATATATTATATATAACTTTTATTGCCATTTCTCAAAATGACATTTTTTATTAGACTTATTCTACTACTATGCATCACTTCTTCAACACAAAATTCGTTCTCTTTCATTCAGTAAGTCATCGATTTGTTGACACACGTAGAAAACGGATTGTGTGAAATAGATTAACGGCCTTAACGACTTTATTGATTCGGTAACACCAGAATTCGATCAAATTTTATTGCCTGATAATACCGTACGACCGAAAAAAACGGCGTCAAAGATGGCCGGGAATGACAATCGATAATAATTTTGGCGAGGTCGATCAAGCCCTAGAAGTCATTTGCTTGGTCCGTTGTCTTTTTTATTTTTTAATGGCGCTTACCGTCAGCTGGTCTCAAAGAGGGTTGTAATTTTTTTTATATTGAGTAAAGACGATTTTTAATCGCTGCAACTGTCTTTGACACCGTTTTTTTTATCATATGATACTATAATGATAATTTAGTTTCCTTTTGTTTGTTTCAGGATTTGGAAAATTCCATTTTTCTTTACTGGCAGTATGTGGACTGATCTACCTCAACACTGCGGTGGGGATCACCATCATATCATTTGTTTTACCATCCGCGACATGCGACTTTCAAATGTCATCCTCAGACAAGGGATGGCTCACGGCAGCTCCGATGTTTGGTAAGTTAAGAGAACTGTCAATAGAATACTTTGTTCAATTTTTGTTTTTTACATAGTAATAGTAAAAATGATCTTTTTATAAGACGAGAAAACAGAAGATACTGTAAATAGTAAAATTGCTATACTGTGCTATTATTTCGCTGTTTGAAAAGCTTACAAACAAAAATTTCTTATTTTTTAGTTATTTTTCTGTCTTAACTCATAATTGTTTATAAAATTTTCGAATACAATCACCCGTGATTAATATACTATATGAATAGAATAAAATTTACTAAACTAGAAATTATTAAATCATTATACTCATAAAATACTAAAAACAGTCCAGAAGAATATAAATAAAAAAAAGTAGAACACATGCAAAACTAATATCGGAAAAAAATAGAAATTTAGAATATCAATACGATAAAACACGAAATTGGACTCAATTGCTTATTGATCTCTCCTGTACCACAGCGGTATCCAAGACAATGAAAAAGTCCATGAGCTAGCTAGGCAAGGATCATCGGCATGCCATCTTGGTCCAGAGCCATTACTGGGAATACCCAAATGTATGGCCCGTAGTGCACTGAAACTCTGGATCAGGGAAAAGCTGTGGCTGTCAAGAGTGGCTGTCAAGAGTGGCTGTCAAGAGTTACCTGAACAAGCTCAACCTGTATCAAGGAAGTCTTTGCTGCAGACTCTGCGATAAAGATTCTGAAACAGCGGAGCACATAATATGCCATTGCGAGGCTTTGGATTGCGAGCGACACTTTTTATTTGAGAACGCTAGTCTAGAACCGGATGTACCATGCTCCTATCCTCCTATCCTATCAATGACCTGCATACGTTGGTGCAGGGTACTGGGATAGGAGAATGGATGCAGATATAGAAAGGAGACAAACACAGTAGGCCTCACAGGTCGCAGTGTTTCCGGCAGAGGATGGCTCTTTGTTATTGGAAAAAAGACCCAAATGAGAACATGACATAATAAGATTTTTAGACGCGCACTCGTTGAAGCTCATTCTCTAATGTAAATCCACACTTACTTGTGAATTAAAATGACTTGGATAACCAAGGGATAACTGTCAATGTCATGTATCCTCACGTTGGACCAACTATAGTTCCAACAATAATCCTTAAATCACAAATAAATAAATAAATGCCTTTATTGTCAAAACATTTTACAATTTGTAGACAAAGGTAACGTAAACAAACAAAAGAAAATACAAAACAAGTATACAAATTACATTGTCAGTATTATTGTTTAAAATAAACATTTATAAATGTTTACAATGTCAAAGAATAAAAAAATAAAAATAGGATTCAAAAATATTTAGTAAGTTTATAGTAAATATTATAGTAATAGCAAATATTAGACCATTTACGGCGTTTCAATGCTTTGCGAAATGAAGAAAATGATGTTATGGATTTGATTTCAAATGGCAGTTGATTGTGCATTTTTTTGGAGTTGTATAATATTGAACTTTTAACTAACTCTGAGCGTGGGGTATGTAGATAAAGATCTTGCTCCGCATTCCTAAGTGGATAAGTGTGAGATGATCTTTCTTGAGAAGCTGATACATGCTTACGTATTAGGCAAACGGATTCGAATATAAATAAGGAAGGAAGAGTTAATATTTTTAATTTTTTAAAAAAGTCCTGGCAATGAGTTCTGCAGTTTAGTCCCAGTGAATATCGAACAGCTCTCTTCTGGAACTTAAAAATGCGGTCAAATTGAGTCGCACAACACGTACCCCAGAATGGAAGGGCATACCTGAGGTGCAACTCAAAAAGTGCATAATAAACAGTTCTAGCCACTGACAAGTTAAGCTCCTTAGAAACAGATCTTAATGCTAAACAGGCAGAGCTTATTTTTTTTCGAGAAAGCGTCGATATGCATGTCCCATTTTAGAGAATTGTCTACAACAAGCCCTAAGAATTTTTTCAGATTTTACGATGTCAATGGTGGTGTTGTTAAGTACAAAAGGCTGCAGCGGGTTTTTATACGAAAAAGCTTTAGTTTTAGAAATGTTGAGTCTCAGGAGGTTCGAATCGCACCAAGATTTAGTGGTGATTAAGTTATTTGATATAATCCTATGAAGTGCTGACGTTGACGTTCTTGTTGCCCCAAGTGAAGCTAGTATCGTCCGCAAAAAGACATATTTTACCACTGATGTTTATGTTAGCAATGTCGTTAATAAAAAGAACAAACAAAATAAGACTTAGTACTGAGCCTTGAGGTATCATATTCTATTGGCTTGCTAGAAGACAACGTGGTATCCACGCTCACAAGTTGATTTCTGTTGCTCAGATACGACTTAAACCATTTGAGAGATGTTCCCCTGAACCCATAGTGCTGCAGTTTATAAGTATAGATAATGGAAATTAGTTATAAGTTTTATTTGAAAAAATCACTGTTGTAATGAAAAATTTAATATTTTTACTCGATGTCTTTCCTTGAAAACATCTGATACCCCAGTTAATAATCTAAATTGGACAGTGATACATTTCTGGTTGTATTGCTATCTGCTTGAAACGGTTTCGTCCTTTTAATTAGACCAAGTGATAAAACAAGCCGATTGCTTTGACAAATTACTTAAATTAGCTGAATAACTGATTACTATACCATTTAGGACGACAAAAATACTTCTGGATTTGATGAAATCCGCCTTAGTAATTATAAAATTACTATTTACAGACTATAGTTATACCGATTGCGTCGCAAAAGTGGCTCACCTCTATAATTTTTTTATTTTTCAGATAAAAACGAAATTTGGTATGTTAGTATATGACATAAATTAGATTGACTGTCATATGTCAACTTTTGACATTCTTGCTTAAAAAATCGTATTTTAAATTTCAATCTAGAGTGCCATTGCTGTGTTGAAAACACTATTTTTTAATTAAGGAGCTTTGGAAAAATAGATTTGATTAGATGATAGAATTGATGATTTGATATAATATTTTAGTGTCTTGCCCTGGCCGGTTAAAAGATGCCCAAATCGTATTTTTGATCATATCTCAATTTTTTTTCAAATGGAACGAGGGTGGCTCATTAGCATATTTGCAAAAAGCATTTTTTTACGAATAATTTGATACCACACACTTGGTATTTTCAGTCAAAATGCCATTAAGAACCCCATGTTACAATTTCAAATAAATCATATGCGAAATGTCAAAAATTGACACGTGATACGTCATTTTATGCAGAGTATTATTTTCTATCGAATAAAGTCAAAAAATAACGAGGGTGCCATTTAAAAATCAAAATTTGTAGTCATTTCCGGTGAAACAGGAAGTGACCGAAAACAATTGAATACGTCAATTAATCCTAATTTATGTCATATACCCATGAGTCACTTTTGAGACGCAACTATAGACGTTATTTTAAAATCTTAGATTTTTTTGTTAAAAATAAATAAGAAATTATGGATAATTTTATGTTTCAGGCATGTTAATTGGTTCGTATTTTTGGGGATGCCTGGCTGACACGAAAGGTAGGAAAACCGTCCTAATCGCTGCCTTAATTATGGATGGAATCTGTGGACTACTATCCAGTATTTCCCAAGTCTTTTGGCTGTTCATGTTCCTCAGGTTCTTAAATGGCTTTGCGTAAGTATAACATACGATAATTTATTTATAATTGACAAACAACAATAGTTTAGTTGAGTAGTAATTGAAATTAACAAATTATGTTGATCAATTACTTGTGACTGATTTATTTGACAAAAACAGTGTAAAAACTGCCCAGAAAGGTCTTAATTTTAAGATTTTAATATACAGGGTAGTCCGAATTGACATGAAAACCACACAGACATTCATCTTTCAATAATGAACATCATACGAGTTTGATCAAATATTTGAAAAAAAGATCAAGTTTTCAATTAAATTTGACAATGATTATGAATTTTATTTGGTCTTAAATTGCGATTAAACTTAAAATGATACACCGTTTAAATTCTTGATTAATGTATTTTTAGTATTACTGGAGCCATGGGTATCTGTTTTCCATACCTTGGAGAATTTCAACCAGGAAGATATAGAGAGACCATTCTATGTTGGATGGAGTTATTTTGGACTCTTGGTGTGATCGTATTGCCAGGTAAATTAACGAGGAAAGAGAGGAGAGAGAGAGAGAGACAGAGTGAGCATTATTTTGATGTAAAAATTACGAAAAAATGTTGTCTTCTTCAAAAGCGAATAGCTCCAACAAAAATAAAGCTACTGAGATGAACCAAAAAACAAACTATCCAGAAAGGATGTATCTAGATAATAAAATGATCTTTAAGTTCCTTGCTGTCTTAACATATTTTACAGGGTGTTTCAAACTTTCACTAAAATATCAACATTTTGTTTTTCCTCGTATAATTGACAGAGGGGAATTTTCATTTTTAATTTAGAAAGAGATACTAAAATTTCAAATAATTTAGCTATAAATTGCCTAAAAATCATTAAAATCGGCCCACTAGAACAAAATAAATGTATTAAACTTCAAAATACATCAAAATTTCTTTTTTTTGAGTAAGAGTCGATTTTAGGCACTCGCCAAGACGGTAGGCTCCGTCCAGTTTAGCCTTAACAGAAAAAGACTTAGGCCTTAACTTAAAATACTTCTTTTTAATTTTAGGTATTGCCTGGATTATTATTCCTATGGAGTTCGAATACATTACGCCTAGCTTTAAGTTTGCCAGTTGGAACCTGTTCGTAGCCACTTGCGCCGTGCCCAGTATTTTGATAGGGATGTGGCTGTTCTTCTTTCCAGAAAGCCCAAAGTTCCTGCTGGAGTGCGGTGAGCCCGATGCCGCTTTGGAAGTGCTGAGGGACATGTACTCCAGTAACTATAGTGATGACGGAGCTAACTTTCCAGTGAGTATTTCGCAATATTTGTAGATAAATGTTTGATTAAAAAGATCAAGGAAGGAGCATATCGACATATTTAGGTGGGGCGCAGATTGTAAATTGTATGGGAGGGTTAAAGTTAATCACTGCGACCTTATAGATCCACGGTGTTCTATTTTTTGAGTTATAACTCATCATACAGGGTTGCCTCATGACTCATCATAAATGTTGCCTACCCTTCAAACAAATATTTTTCTAGATATTTTAATTTTTATGATTTCGCGTCAGTATATTTGAATAAATCTAAGTGGCTGTGATATACCTGTAGTTAATTTACCAAAAATTAGAGGACGTAGAGTAAAATACTCAACGGCAATAAAAAGATACACGTTTAAAACATATTTTAATTATTACAGAATTAAAACTAGATATAAACGTATAATTATGTGACAAAAATTACCTAGACGAAATCCAAGCTCAAAATGGTTTCTTTCCTGTTCACTGCATAAAATGATTCTCTTTTCAAAAGATCTTTTCATTTTAAAAGGCATATGTAGAGTTCTACTTGGAAATGCATATACAGTCATTTCCCTCATTTTGTCGACAATTTTATCGGTCGAGTTTTGTAAACACTGTCTTTTATATCCCCATAAAAGAAGCCCAGTCTAGATATAATCAGGAGCATTTAAGTATTGTATTAATTGGTGAATGCACACTTCATTCCCCAACTAATAGAATCATATTAATTCTCTCTGATGTCTCTACTTTCCGCAAATTTCTGAGATTTTTTTTGTTTTAACTGACACAAAATGATAACAAGTTATTAAAGTTGGACTAATTTGACAGCTATGCTGAAGTAAAGTCAGACATATCACAGTCACCTAGCTTTTACCAAATAATAAAGATCTACTGACACTAAATCATTAAAATGAAGAAGGAAATCTTGGAAAGACTTTGTTTGTGGGGTAGGCAATCAATAGTATTTTGAATAGACATGAATTCCTTATTGATATGACTTGGCTGAATGCCGGGTGTGAGATACTGACATATTGTGGGATTTAGTCATATTATACTTCTCTAATAAAACTCATCTTTATTTTTCTTCCAAAATCCGAAAATCCATGAATATATAGGGTGTTCCCTTACAAAAAACATAACTTTGACATGTAACTTTTTTTGGGGATATTCAGTAGAACTCTCTATATTTTTAAAAAGTGCTCTGAATTAACTTACAGTGGCTCACAAAGTTTCATTTCAATACAAACTGTTGTTTTCCTTGGTTGCGCCACCCTGTATAGTCTCAGGGCTTCAGGAGTATAGTATTATGCTCCTTTCTTAATCGTTTTATTCAAAAGGATGAATAAAAATATTTTAAAAGGTGTAATCTCATATAGGATATATCTTTTTACAGGTAACAAGCTTGCGAGAAAAAGTCAGAACCATGAGCGTAGTATCCCAACAGTCCACTCGAAGCATTCGAAGCCTAAGGATACGAAAACCCAAAGAACTTAAACTTCTTCTCCAAGAAATCTGGGAACAAACCAAAGCTCTTTGCAAGCCACCACACTTGCGTTACACAGTGATAACCTGCGCCATTCAGTTTGGCCTGACAACAAGCTACTACACTTTGATGATCTGGTTTCCTGAACTGTTCTATCGTTTTGAAGAGTTCGAAAGTGTACACCCCAACGAAAAAGCTACAGTGTGCGAAGTGTCTTCTGTAGTCCTCTACCCAGGTAACAGTACGGGTACTGGTGGTGTGGAGGAGTTCTGCGGGGAACCGATAGCAGATTCTGTGTTCCTGCACACTTTAATCATTGGACTGGCTTGTATACCTACCAGCTTCTGGCTGCCTTTGTGCGTGCATAGGTTGGGAGCGAAGTTTTTTCTGGTTTTCAGCCTTTTGGTTGCCGGTTCTGTGACCATCGGACTGTATTTTGTTAATTCAACCAACTCCAACTTGGCCTTGTCGTGTATTTTCGAGGCTCTAACCAGTTTGGGGATCAGTACTGTGTACTGTGTGATGGTTGATCTGTTTCCAACAAATTTAAGGTAAGAATAGGTGTGTAATAGAATCTGTACAATAAATTATTAAGAAAAAAAGTTCAATATTATTTTCATTTTTTTTAAACGGTATGTAAATTTGGATTAGTATAAACGGGATTAAATATTTTAGAACAAGCAAAATTTTGTATGAAAGATACATTTTTCTCAAAATGTCAATAATAAAAAACTGTTTCCTCTTGTAAAGACAATCCGGGGACATACTGTAGTTATACAGGGTGGTCCGAACTGTATTCCCGAAATTTCGGCAGCATATTCTACAGATATACAGAAGTAAAAATGTTCGTATAAATGTATGTCCTAAAATACTTACTTTCACAGATACAGGATGTAGAAATTTCACTTTTATATCGATTTTTTCCAAATAATTTCTGAAATAACGTCAATATCTGATAATAAAGATTAATATATAACTATCAATACCTGTCATCATTGACATGAATTAAACATGTTGACTAAATAGTTATTAGACTGAAATCATAAATTTGAAACGATGTTGTGTCTAAAGTTCAATAGAAACTGTTTTATCACCACTTTTTTGAAGAAAAATTTATGATTAATTTAAAAAAATAAAGTCAAGATATATATATATATATATAGTATAGCATATATATATATATATATATATATATATATATATATATATATATATATATATATATATGTAATGTATATATTTTTTTTCACTCAGTGGTTTTATACAGGTACGGACGAAAAGTTATTACTCTTCAAAACAGTTAAAACACATGTAGGTGGCGCCCAGGGTTCGGAAGTAGTTAATTAAGACGTAATTTACGTGATTAACTACGTGTAGTTTTTTTGCAAAAACTACGTCTTTTCTTGTTCATTAACTACATGAAAACTACTTTAATAAACTACATACTGTTATTACGATATAAAAATAATCCTATAAATAAAAATGTTAATTTTGATGAAACATGTAAGATATAAATTATTTATTTAATTAAAGAATTATCAATTCACATAAAAAACGAAATATATAATGAATAACACAATATTTGACAGTATATTAAAAATTATTAGATATAAAATACAAAAATTCTAAAAAAGTTAAAATAACCAAATTACAAATATAAAATATCATAAGACTTAATCACCTAGTCAGTAATCTTTTTCCAAAACTTTGTAGAAAGTATATTTTTAATTTCCTCTGTATGAGAGGTGTAAATAATTTTTTGATGCCAATGCTATATTTAAAGCCATATTTCCTCTCTTTTCTAAAACTTCAACTCATCTTTAACTTGTTATAACCAACCCCTAACCTGCCTCAAATCTTTGATATTTGAATGTTATATAAACTACACTATCTACGTCGATTAAGTACATGTAATGTAGTTTATGTAGTTTTTAAGAGTAACCCCTACAAATAGCAGTCATATTGACATCAAAATTTAACTTCTCATGTCAAAAAACTCCTATACACCAATTTTGATCCAAATATTGACGTTACTTGATAAATAATTTGGAAAAAACCGAAATAAAAATGACATTTTTACCACCCTGTATCTCCGAAACTAAGCAATTTAGGACATACATTTATAAGAACTTTTTTACTTATTTTTATCTGCAGAATATGCCGCCGAAGTTTCCGGAATACAGTTCGGACCACCCTGTATATTTACCGGTGAAAATTATTTACTTATTTATGTCGATTTTTGACCGAGATCAACTTCAGGTTGAACAAATACTATTTTACAGTCTTTTTCTGGTAATAATGTGACTATTGAATTAAAATATGACACATGATCCTGTTAGATTTACTAAAATTTACTTACATGTGTTTATTTATTATTTACTAATAACACTACAGAAGATTTAAAATTAGACTTATGTATGCTAGTCTTCTAGCCGTTTTAGATTATATTAATTTCTTTTTTATTTAGGGTAATGGCAGCAGCTTTATCCTTGACTTTTGGAAGGGGTGGAGCCCTAATAGGTAACCTACTATTTGGATTTCTCATCGACTTAAACTGCGTCGTGCCAATAGTACTTTTCGCAGCCATGCTTTTTGGTAAAACAACCCTATTTTTAAAATATTGTTATTATTATTACAGTCGACTTCTTTTTTTCAGGAAGTGGATTGCTGTGTTTACTTTTACCCAATACAGGAGGAGGTGCCTTAGAGTAAATTCAAAAACATTGCATTTTTGTATAGATTTTTCAATACTGCCGAGTTTTCCTCTGAAACATGAAAAAGAGAGGAAATGGTGCATAAGAAACACAACAGTACCGATAGAGTTATACAGGGTGTCCCAGGCTGAGCTTACTCAGCCTGGATCACCCTGTATACGTATATTTTTGTAAAATGTATATTGACATTTTTTTTCTTAGTATCTTTATACTTTTAGACGAACACTTATATTGCAACTCACGGTATTTTTTAATGTGATATTATTGTATATCTTGTAAAAATAATGCAATAATCTAGTTTGGATCTTTTCGATCTGATATTATATTTTAGGGTTAAAATTAGATAGTTTATTGTTATATAGGTCATAGCTAATAGTTTGTACAAAGTGGATGTTATATATCTGAGATATATTTTTGCAAGGTAAGCTAAGGGCATAGCCCAATGACAGTTAAGTCTCTGTTATTTTGTATACGACATGTTTTTTTAAAAGTGGAAAATTCTCAGATACGAATATATTTTAGAGTAGATTAAATAAAGCTGGACCCGATATAAATTAACAGTGAACGCCATTTCAAAGACCATTTTATTTTAATTGTATGGTATTTATCTCACTGGTATTTATTTTGTTTGATCCAATTGATCACCGAAGCTAGATGTTTCTGCTTCCACTTAATCCGCACTTTCATCTGATCCACTGAGCTTTGCAAAATACTGGCTACTGACTTGAGATCGGTCTGGTGCAACATATAGAACGTTGTTAAGTCTTCTAAATCTATTTCTGTTGAAAGCTGGGACACGAAATCTTGGAAAATCGTACTGAAAACTGGGAAAATATCTTCGTAGGCTTCGAATATCCTCTGCCAGTTCAATCTTAAGAACTGGAACCCTGTTCTGACACCTACAGGGTGGTTTATTGATTTCCAGACGTTTTGGACGTTTTCTAGGGTCATGTTTCCATCAAGAGAATATTCCAAATACCTGGAATATGTAATAGAAATAATATAGATAAACATAATTATATTTTTTTGGTTGCAATAATTGAGTTTGTTACCTGTTGATCAACCAAGGATCATAGGTGCAACCTAAGCTCATATAAGCTGTTTCTAGATCCATCGGGGACATTGAGGGGGACTTTGTTCTGTTCCACAAAAAGTTCCATTCTTCAGGACCTCCAGAATTGATGGCTGAACACTGAACAATGTATCTATAGTCCACGTTGATTCTAAAACATGAAATTGACTCATTACTTGCTTTGGATCAAGTATCTCTCGTTATATATTTGATCAACAACACATATAATATATATTGGCTATAGGTTTAGAAGCTTACATGTTGCTTTCATCAGGATTGGGCATTGTCATCCACTGAGCGTAGAGAGTTCGAGACCACTGGCTACACTTCCAATACCTCAACTTACAGGCAGAAGTTACAATTAAGAGACGAAGCAGTTTCTCATTTTGTGTATCACTAGATCTTTCTGTTGTGCCCATCTCATCAAAAATAGGCTTCACCAATCTCAAGATAAAGTTATCGTACAATCCAGAGTACTCGTAGTTACTAATGATAACTCTAAAATAAACCTAGATGTAACAAATTATCGTCTAACCAAATTAGAGATAAAAAAACCTGAGTTCCTCCATATTTCTGAGAGCTGCGTACCAAGGTACGTAGTTGATCTCTGCAATGTTAAGATATTTTACCAAATTTAAAGCGATAGTATAGTTAATTAGTCCTGTGTTTGCCAGTTGAAAAGCATCATCAATCAGATGTCCTCTGTTCGAGACAGGTATCCTATTAGGGTTTCTTCTGAGTTGCTGACTCAGTAAGTTCCAATTATGATAGTCGTAGTTTACTCTAAAAAAGCCTGACAAAAAATAGCAATATTTGTTTGAAAGTGACAATACAAAGAAGATAATACTGACCTGTTTCTTCTATATTTGCCAGAATCCAGGTATCGTTTTCCCATTCTGGATCAAATTCTAAATTGACTTCCTTTGTCGTATTTTCCAGCCAAATACTTTGAACGCTTTTGTTGTTTTTGGTGATATATGTTACAGGAACGTACCAGAGGTTTGTTGAAGTACTGTTCAAATCCTCCATCATCTTTGTTTGGTTAATGTTTAGTACTCCTATAGTTTGAAAAACATTCATATGAATTGCTGTAATATATATGGTATATTTTTATATACCTGCAGTATAGTTTTTGGACACTGTTATAACTGGATATCCGCTCTGTGTGGTCCAGGAATTCATAAGAGCTTCTATCGTGATGTTTTCTGGAATAATACTTTGGTTGTGAGCTCTTCTCGTGAATAGTCCCCATAGATCGTCCTGATTGGTTGATTTATATGAGCTGGAATAATATATTTTAGTTTGTAACACGCATAATTACACTTGCAATATAGAAACTTACAATTTTTTCAGATAATTATGTAAAGTTTTTTGGAAAACTTCTTTTGTTAAGGTATAGTTTAACATTTTCAATATACTGCTTCCTTTTGATGTTACTATAATGTCAAAAATTTGTTCAATTTGCGCGTTACTGCTAATTTTAGTTTCAATGCTGTGTGTAGATTTTAAACTGTCATAATATAAGGTCTTATAAGAATTTCTAAGCTGCAAACTGCTGTAGGCATGCCATCTTGGTCTCAACTACGAAATAACATCGTTAATATTACCGAAAAAAAGAAAATGCATGTTTTATTTACACTGCTTAATGTAACTTCAGCCATGAAGGTACCAAAACCTTCATTAAGCCAGAGATCAGACCACCATTCGACAGAAACAAGATTTCCAAACCATTGATGCGCAACTTCATGAGCTATCTTTGAAAAAATAAGACTTTTTGTTTTGATGCTTCTCGAAGATGGATCAAAAAGTAAAGTTGACTTTCTACAAAAATTGAATAAATGAATTAAATATACTAGATACTAATATATTTTACCTAAAAAGAATTAAACCCCAATTCTCCATGGCATCCATACCAAAACTTGGTATAGCCACTAAATCCAACTTGGGTAAAGGGTATTTAATTCCAAAATACTTTTCGAAGAATGGTAAAATTTCCTGGGCAGATTCCAAGGCGTATTGTGCCTTGGGTAAGTCGTCTTTTGGTGCCCAGACTTTGAAAACAGTGCCTGTACTGGAATTGGCTGATAAGTATTCAAAATCGCTTATGGTAAATGCTACCAAGTATGTAGACATTGGGGGTGAAGCTTCGAAATGGTCCCAGACCCATCCAGTTTCATTCCTAGAATGACACGTTGAACAAGTAGGGAATATAATGCATTCGTTGACTTACATTGGTTCAATTTCTTTTAAAGGCATGTTAGAAAGCACGGTCATGTTTGTATGTCTAGCGATACTGATTTCAAACGATGCCTTGAAAGACGGTTCGTCAAAACAAGGAAAAACTGTTCTGGCATAGACTGAAGCAAACTGTGTTGTTGCTAACCATCTAAAAATTAAATTACTAAGAAAAAATTGAGTGTTATAGTGATGCACTTACCTGACGTTGCCAGAAAGGTCTGTGTAACTTGTTCTGTACAAACCAATCAAGTTATTAGTGATATTCCCAGAGAATTTGATGTCAACTGTGTAGGTTCTTCCTTGATGCATAAGTTCGTAAAGCTTGACAGACAGTTTAAAGTTTTTTGGATCCCTGATGATCGAAGCAACCGGTATATTAACGAGTTCTGATGAAATGAGAATCTACAAAGTTTTTTATAACACAAAACTCGATTTTTAACACTTTACTACCTTTTCTGGAGTTGTTTCTGGAACAACTTCAGTGGTAACTTCTTCAGATTCCATTGTAGTACTTTCAATTTCATCCTCAACCATTTCCGACTCATCTATAGCTCTTCTCGATATATTTTTCCTAGAACCTAGTTCTTCATGCTTGACAGTGACCACTTTGATGTCTGCATCTAGTATGCTGAGTTCGTCATCCCAGTTCAAAACTATTTTATCTGTCGGTGATGTACAATTGAACTAAAACAAAATCGCGTTGGGGTGAACTTTATTTTGTAATAATGTTTTGTGAGTTTACCAAGATTTTGACTCTGCCTGTAAACGTGAAGTTGTTTGGTGATGCCTCGTCCAATATTGGATGCAGAATCAGACGATAGTGGATTGGATGGAGGTCAGTAGGAAGTCGTAGATCCTCTTGGGGAGTTTGTTCGTTAATGGTTTCGTTAAGGAGTTGTTCTATATCGGCGGTACCACCTCTTTGTAACTATGAAAGAGAGACAGAAGTATAAATTATTTTCCAGATACACCTTTTAATCGGCATTAAATGGCCTATACCATTTTGCTGAAAAAAGAAAATAAGTCTGTTGCAAACATGCTTTTTTTAGAAAAAAATATTCCACCATATGCGTCCCTGGTCCCTGGTGAATCTATCGACATTAAAGTTTATCGATATTAAAGAGGAACACCAAGTTTGGGGACTGGAGATGAATATCACAAAAACTAAATATCTCTGCGTTGGGTTGGATCAAACAGCAATAAAACTGGATAATGAATATATACAAACATGTAACGAATACAAATACCTAGGTGTTACTTTCGATAAATCCGAAAAAGACGACAACGAAATAAGTTCGAAAATATTCAAGGCCAGAAATGCAATTAAATGTCTAAATAGTATGCTCTGGAATAACGAAATAGGTAAAGACAAAAAACTAAGGATTTATGATGCGGTAATCAAGGAATCTGTTATTTGGGGCGGAAATATCGAGGTTAACCGAGAATAACAAAAGAAAATTACTGGTGGTAGAAATGGACGCGATAAGGAGATCAGAACGAACATCAAGGTTGGATAGAGTACGACACAAGACAATCAGAGACAAAATGGATAGACAGAAAACTATAGTAGAGGAAATAGAGAGTGCCAAACTGAAGAGGTATGGACATGTGAGAAGGATGGACAACACGCGACTGTCTAAGAAGGTACTAAACTGGCTTCCACAAAAGAGAAGAAAACGGGGAAGACCAAGAACAAACTGAATGGAGGGTGTCAAGAAGGCGATGAGCTCAAGGGATCTGCGTGATGGAGACTGGAATGAACGAAACCAATGGAGACGTTTTAAAAGCGATTCTTATGTACAGTACGTCTGTCCGTTCTGTAGCTACGCGGTATCCGTGAGAGGGGAAACGATATTCTCTCGATGTTTTTCGTAAAAAATTAGACGACGCGTCCCATCAATAAAAATTCGACAAATTTGCAAATGGCCAATAAAATGAGTGGGCGGAGCGATTTGTGGTGACGTACTCGTCAAGTCGACGTATAAAATATATTGTTGTTTATTTAAATGTTTTTTGTCCGCATTCCTTTCATAGACACAGATCCACCAGATGTACTGTACATCTCCTCACGAGAGATGGCACTTGTTTTTTTAAACATCCTGTATATGTGTAACAATTCCAAAAATTGGTACAGGTAAACAACAATTAAATTATAACTTAATTATCAATATCTGCTCATTTGTATATAAATACCAACAATTTTTTTGGTAACTCGTAACGTAAATAGAAAGCCAAACCTATCAATTAGCATCTTCATGTCAAGTTAATATGGAAAAAATGTCAAATAATTTTAATAATGTTTGTTCAATTACTGTTGTGCCGTTTAACACACGTTGGTAGATTTTGTTATTGAATCAATACAAAATAAAAAAATACCAAAAAAAATCCGCAACGAATTCAATGTATTTTAAAACAAAAAGACCTGTGACTGACCTCGTATATTGATTGCAGCGATTTGCATATCTAGAAATTCAAAATTGAAAATTAACATAACATTTAGTTTATTGTTTTTTTTAATTTAATTATTACTATGAAGGTTTTTTAGCACGTTCATTTTCAGGTCACAATCACATCAAATGCGGCTATTTTTTATTATACAGGGTCTCCCAGAAATGAGCGCAAGTATTTTAAAGGGTGGTAGGTATCTGGCTATAAAAGAAACATATTTTCTCTTTACCATTTAAAAAAAAAATTAAAATTGATAATACCGAGTTATTTAACTATGAAAATTTAATAAATAATGGCAACATTTTGAGAGCCGCCGGTAGTAATCGATAATCAGCCGCAAATACCAGGAAATTACCCGTATCTCCTCTTGTTCGACGCCCAGTGTTGACACATTGACTAGAATGTTTTAAAAACGACTTGGAAAATTCAGATTAAAAGTAAAAAACCTACCTAACATTAGAAAACGGGACTCATCGATACACAGTAGATCGATATAATTAGGTTAGAGCGTCGTTTTATCACTTTACCTAAAACCACAACTCTACACTTAACAACACTTCATTTTGCGATTATTGACAGCACTACACACGTGTATTTGGCACAAAATAAATTCATATGCCATCTGAATTATTTAGGATTTATTTTGAGGATTTCGACCACTCTTCTGTTTTTCTACCTCACACTCTTGTTTTTTTGATAAAACACCAAAATAATTGATATTTCTATTTGAATAATACATACAAACATACTGCCATTACTCGCTGATGAGTATTTGACACGCATTAGAAGATGGTCACGCAAGGCGTTTTCTTTAATGAGCTTTTCTATGACTGAAAAGCTCGATATGTTATCTGCTCGTAATGTTATTTGCCTACCGCACTCCGCACATTCAAAAATCTCATTGCTTTGTTTCATTATTCTCTAGTCTCATTATTTAGTTTCATTATTTCAGTTTACTATACTGTAAAAAAGGTATTTAAAGTATCTACAATGAATAAAATTAATTTAAGTGTTTTTTTTTTGTAGAAATTTAAAAATGTGAACTTATAATTTATAAACATTGAGAATGTTGATAACGTAGGAGGTGGCAACATTGCCTTATCTCGAAGCACTATTCAATATCGAATTTTCGGAAACTGAACAAGCGGCACTCAAAAGTTTTTTAATATTTTCCGAAAAATGTCAGAGAAAAAATATAAAAATTTGAGAATTATTTTTTTGGCAAAAGGACCTCATTGGCTTGTTTCTGGGGTCGAACTATACTACCAGGTAAAATACTTTCCTGCACACTTATTTCTCGGACACCCTGTATAGAATGTCTCAAAATTAATTTCTACCTAAAAGCTCTTCACTCTTTCTGTGTATCCCTGTATAATACACAAAATTAAAGAGTTTAATTTCAAATTGAAGCTAGTTATTATAATTTGAGGTTCAGTGAAGCGATTTAGAGATCTTTGGACAGGGAATGGTAGTTGTTTACTAGCATATTATTTTTTTCCATTTTTGTCATGGCTAAACTAAATTATCCTACTTCCTCTGCAAAAAAAAACAGAAACAAAATAATAACACACAAAATTGACCCGTACATCGTGATGACAATGTTTTGAATTATTGAAATGATTTCAAATGAAATAATATCCATATTGTGGTTATAGAATGTGAGGTTATTAATTAACAGAGTACCTAATACTAATTAGTTATTTACACAGGGTGACTCAAAATTTTATATGACTTAATCAACTGCTAATGTATACAGGACGGTCCGAACTGTATTCCGGAAACGTAAATAAGTCAAAAAGTTCGTATAAATGTATGTCCTAAAATGCTTAGTTTTGGAGATACAGGGTGTAGAAATTTCATTTTTATTTCGATTTTTTCCAAATAATCTGTATCTCCGAAACTAAGCATTTTAGGATATATATTTATACGAGCCTTTTTACTTATATTTATCTGCAGAATATGCTGCTGAAGTTTCCGGAATAGAGTTTGGACCACCCTATATATTTTGGGGACCACCCGAATTTTATTCGAAACGCTAAAAGTACTTGGAAGAAAATTATAATAAATCAAAACAATATTAACTTATGACTTATGACATGTTTTTTTGAAACACCCTGTATGACTGACCAGCATCCTACTGATTCAGATAAATTTTTTAAAAAATATCACTTTGCAAATTTGTACTGAAGCTGTATATTTCACCAAATTTATGGTCATTTTTTAAACAAAACTGTGAGGTTTAGTACAGAGTACAATGTTATATTATTTTTATGAAAATCAATAAATTAAAATCGCTTTTCATTGTTTTACAACAAATTATTACTTTGTGATAAGTATCATTTGGAAATATTGATTAAAGCGTAATTAAGATTGGACTACATATTTTGTTGTTTTTTAAGGTGCGTATTCATTATCCGAACGAACGAACGAATGAAAGTGCGGTATATTTAAGGTGCGTATTCATTATCCGCACGAACGAACGAACGAACGAACGAACGAACGAACGAATGTTCGCTAGTGGTATGGACGGGGGCCGCACGAGAAGACCGGAGGCATTTGTTGGCGAACGCCTTTGATGTACCGACTCGAAACGGATGGTCGAGCGAACGAACGAACGAACGGCCGCATGCGTTCGGTCCCCGTCTAAAGGTGCGTACTCACTGAGCGAATCTGAAACGAATGCAGAAAGTTCGCTGATTGTTTGGCTTCGTCGGTTTGTGAGTTTGTTTAGCAGAAAAAATGTGTGACAAAATTATAGCGGCATCAGCTTTTATAATTATTGCGGGATCACTAAAAGCAAAAAAACAAAAAAGGAAAAGAAAACATTAATTCCTCCTTTCTATATACTTCAATTAAATCAATTGTAAGTTCGTTTGTTCATTGAACTTTATCAGACATCTTGAATCTTTTTAACTGAAAAACACAGCGTCCAAATGCAAATAATACAAATTCGGATTCGGAGTTCCCCCCAAAAATTAAAAACCCGCGAATCTCGTCAACACCGAACTGCGAATCTCTTTGATGTACCGCTCTCCGACCGAACGCAGGCGACGGCGAACCGAACTTAAAAATGGCATTCGATTCGCCTTCGGATTTACGTACACACTTGACGAATCATTCGGAGTTCGTTGTTCGTTCGGCATTCGTTTGCTCAGTGAGTATGCACCTTAAATATACCGTACTTTCATTCGTTCGTTCGTTCGGATAATGAATACGCACCTTTAAGGAACGAACGAACGAATGAAAGTGCGGTATATTTAGACGGGGACCGAACGCATGCGGCCGTTCGTTCGTTCGTTCGCTCGACCATCCGTTTCGAGTCGGTACATCAAAGGCGTTCGCCAACAAATGCCTCCGGTCTTCTCGTGCGGTTCTATCGTACGGTCCCCGTCCATACCACTAGCGAACATTCGTTCGTTCGTTCGAGCGGATAATGAATACGCACCTTTAAATGAGCCACCTGGTATAATAATAAAATGGAATTTTTCTCGCTGTTATTTTTTATTGTATTTTTCAGTAGTTAAGAGATTATAAACGATGGTAGATTGGCTTACGAAGGTTGTGAAAATTGTTTACTACAATGCCTGTAATTATATCACTTACTTAGGTATATGTAAATTTTTTAAATGCTGTATTTTTCCCGGCTATCTTTTTATTCATCTATATTAAATTAGAGTTTCCTGTTAGTGACAGGATTATAATAATTATAAAATTTACACATTAAAAATTAAATTGTTATTTCATGGATATTTAGAATTTAGACACATGAAAATAGAGGTAGTTTTTACGTGGAATATAGTGATGTAGATGTATTAAATTTATTGATTATATTGTATTAAAGCATTAAACAAGTAATAACTACATATAGGGTGTTCTAGAAGTTGAGCCATTTATTTTAAGATTCATTTCATACATTATTTATAATTTCATCAGTTTTAAATGCATTTTTAAAGCACTGCGTGATATTATTTTCAAATTGTGCTGGTACAATAAAAATAGCACACATCTATGAAAACTATAAATGAGATGATAAAATACTAACTTTCAGGGAGTGGCAATAAAGTTGACTTCTAGCATAGCGAAAATGAAAGATAAATCATGCATTTTATTTTGAGAATACCGATAATAACTCAATAAATAATTATTTTAAGTACAGAAAGTGCTTAATAAAACATAAAGTTATGGAACACCTGTATATTTTACCTGAAATACAGGGTATTACTCTATTTTTTGTAATAGCGGAGAAAACGTATATATATAGTTTTGATTTACCCTGTATACCCAGAGCTACATATATTTTATTTTAATATGATCAGTCTTGAAGGAGATAACCAATATACTGAGCAAAAAATAATACAAGAATATATTGAAAAAACTAAAATTTTAGTGTAAAATTATATTTGAATCTTGCTGTTTACATATCTATGATTATATTTTTAATAAAAAATAAATTATGCCGAAAATCTGATATAGGACTTTATCGGTACACCCTGTATATTTTATTAAATTTGAAAACAACACAAACTCATAATAAATTTTTAATGTTTTTTTAAAAATTAATAATAATTTTTGTTATTGTGCTATAAATAAAGTATATTTTTAACGCAAAAAAAACAGCATGTGGTCCCCAAAAACACGTCATGGTGGCCTTTGAAAGTTCAATTATTGTTAATTTCTATCGGGTCGCCTGCTAAAAGTCATTTATTAAAAAAAAATCAAAAATTAATGTTTAATTTAGAAGAAAGTAAAAAGTCTCCAGGCCCAAATGCAATTTTAAATAATTTTAAATGAATAACTTTTACTGAATATATTTGCGTGTCAATGACTGAAAACTTTGTATTTTTCTATTTGAATCGTAGTTTTTTACAAGTTTTTATGACAATTTTAAATATATGATATTAGGGGTCCGTGGTAGAGTTTCGATAAATTATACAGGGTGAGACTAAAATAAATGCAAATATTTTTAGGGCTGGTAGATGTCGATAAAAGAAAGATATTTTCTCTTTACCGTTTTTCAAATAAGTCCAAAATAACCGAGATATTTGATGTTGAAAATTAAAAAAAATTGCTTAAATTTTGAGAACCACTGGATTTTTTTTGAGTTTTCTTTCTTGTTGATTTAATCCACTAGCTATGTTGCCATATTATCAATAAATTCTATTTTTCAACTAAAAATTAAAAATATTTACAAAATTTTTTTCAAAAAATTCCAAGTTTTAATTTTTTTTTTCGTGAAAAAACCTTATAAGCTTTTTGCTGGGGTCGAAATATACTACCCTTAAAATATATGTACTATTTAAGACTCACCCTGTATATATTTTTGGTTCTCGGCAAAAGCCTCACACCAAATTTTACTGAGTTAACGTAGGACTTAGGTACCAAACATTTTTTTGTATTAATAAAAACAATTTTAAAATTTGCTTTTTTATTTTTACATGTGCTCCACCAACGCACTTCTTTTAAATCAAAAATATATATCTTTTATTTTTTCTATGATTTTTGTCATATTTTATCGAAAAATTTTACATATTGTCAAGGGAATCAAAGTGACTGTATGTACAGTTTTATACAGGGTGAGTCTAAGATAAGTGCAAATATTTTGAGCTTAAGTTTTTTTCACCAAAAAATGAAAACCTGGATTGTTTTGCAACATCTCAAAGAAAAAAAAAACAGAAAAGATTTTTTTGGAAATTTTCAAAGTGAAATAACTCTGTTATTTCGGATTTATTTGAAAAACGGCACATAGAAAATATGTTTCTTTTATCGAGATCTACCAGCCCTGAAAGTATTTGCGCTTATTTAAGACTCGCCCTGTATATTTTTGTTAGTTTTCTGCCTAAATAAATAAAATAATAAAGCGTCGTGAAAAAAAAATGAAAATTTTTTACAAATACAAAAGTGTTTCTGGTAGATTCAAAGTTAAGTTACTACAGTTTGGTGTGGATCCCATGCACAGAACCAGATATATGTATAGTTGCATTGAAGTTTTACCAGTCTCCACTGCTAACATCCAGATTATTTGACATTTTAATAAAGCAGTACCTACCATTTCCAATTTGGTATTCGGTCCATAGTAGTACATGAGCACAATAACACAACACAGCGACGCCAATGCTAGCACCACAAACGCAATGGCCTTCTTGGTTGTCACAAAACAACCCCCATTACGACTGTACCTCAATCCATCGATAGTATCGTCCGTAAGAAACTCCGTACGACTTGAAAAGGGTCCAGGGTTGGTTTTTGCCATTATTTTTGGATGGAGAAAATTGAAAGGTACGAAATATATCCCCTTAGGATTACATAGTTTATTTTCAGACGATGTTGTGCCGAGTACTGATGCTTAAGAGGACCGAAAAAAACGACACGAGTTTTTTTTTCTCTAGCTCTGGTACGACCTGAGGCGAAAACACATTCGCATTCGGCGGCTAGGTACGATTTGGGCTATGTTGTGGTACTGGCTGGGTTGGCGCGTGATATCGATTCCGAGGAGTTTTAGCACGGCATGGTACTACCACCCATGCACATACGGAGCGATCAGAAATGATTGAAATACACCGAACGGCAATCTTTAGTTTTTTTTTATTTTCCTTTAATCAAAATATTTTCCGAAACAAAAATAAATTAATTATAAATACATAAACAGCTATGATTTACATCAACAAAACTCACATTCTTAACAGTACTTAAGGGACATAAATAGCCATTACTACATCTTTATATATATAAAGCGGGTGTCCTGCAGCTTCTGCCCATCCCGCATTTCGACCTCCATATTGTTCGATTTTGCCATTCTTCCTGGTTAATAGCTCTATCTCTCATGTACTGGTCTACTCCATCTAACCACGTAGTTGTAGGTCTTCCTCTTTTCCTTCTGCTTTGTGGACGATACTCCATTGCCCTTTTTGGCCATCTTTCCCCATTGGCCATTGGCCATTTTAAAATAATATCAATTATTTGTTATAACACAAATATGTTGTCTGTACAAGAACGCCCAGCGCAGAAACCACCTTGTTCTTCTATTTCTTCGAAGCTTTCTTCTACTCTCTCTTTTAATATCTTGCCATACAACCTTCCCATTAAGCTTGTCAAACTAATGCCTCTGTAGTTGCTACATCTTTTTTTGTCTACTTTCTTAAAAATAGAGCTGATGTATGCCAGATTCCAGTCTTCAGGAATGTTGTCGTTTTTTATCAGGCATCTGTTGAAGATATCAGCCAGTATTTCCAATAATATATCGGGTCCCTGCTTTATTAGCACAATGAAAATGTTTCCCGGCCCCGCAGCTTTTCCATTTTTTGAGTTACTACATCTTTCCCGTTAAAAATATTCTAATAAGGTTGCGATAAGTTTTTTGCAAGGGCTATTAAGCTGTCTTGTACACTTTGCACTAAAAAAGAGGTTCTAAAAAGAACAATGTTTGACTGCAAGATCTTCTAGTAAAATTTTTTAAGCTTATAGTATCACAACACAATTCATTTAAACCAAAAACTCTTAATACAAAACTAAAGTGTCAAAATCAATGACAATGTCAGGAAATAAATAAATAAGGCTCTCCTAGGATATGTTCCAAATTATGACCACTTTATGTAGTACCAGTATCTGGCACAGCATCAATTTATCGCATACCTTTGTCCAAAAAAAGTCGTACCGCTCTAATCATTTAATTGTTGATTCTTTTTTTAGGTCGTTAAATCTTAACTGTTTGTCTTGTATGTTGTTTTATTTATTCTACTTGTTATTACAATGATAAAAACAATAGCTGACAGATTTTTTACTATTAGGATAGGTTAAGTACGTGCTCATACATTATGGTTTTTCATTAATAAATTTTGGATTTCACACAGATGATTCTTTCAACTATCATCTCGTTTTCGCTGCATGTCAAGATGCTTTACAATTTTTTACCTCTACTGTTTGTTGGTATATTTTTCTATCCAATTTATTAATAAGTTTTTTATTCTTAAACATTTAGGTAAAGTTTCTTGATAAAAGTTTAATATTTGAAGTAAGAAAAGTATTAACATTTGATCGACTTAAACAAAAATAAAAAAAAATAGATATAATAATAATTGGAAAAATTTATTAAAATAATATAAAGGAGATATTAATTAAATATTTGTATTCGTTTATTATTAAATATTTTTTAATAGACTTGAGACGACAAAGCAGATATAGGAAGGGTTGTATATGTTGGTAACAGATAATAACTAAGAACATTCTTTAATAGAATTTATCACACAATCTCCCAAATTAAATTATCTTAAGTTGTTTTTAACAGTTTCTTTAAGTCGTTGTTAATATGTATTTAATTACTTGTAAGTATTTTTTTTATATCTCCTTCCGTAGTCAATTATCTATGATAAGTTAATAATATTAATTATATATGTATTCGTGATTTGTATAAATAAAGTTGTTCCTCTCAAAAAAAAATAACATAGATTTTTGTGATAAGTCAATTTGAAATTGGTATTTTGTTATAGACACTACACTTATGAAGGCTGTAATGTTTGGCTGAAACGTTTGTTTTTTCTTATAAAAATGAAATAAAGATAAAAAACCAAATGAAAACTTAATTAGAGTTTTCCCGAACCTAAATTCCAAGAAAATAAAAAAAAATTAGAATAATATTAATTAGAGTAATAAATATAAGTAAAAATAAACTTTTATTGCTTTATCAAAGGAGGAATATCAAGAAATAAAAAGATAATTATATTTACTTAAAAAAATATGAATAATATTATGTAATGTATGTTTGCATATGAATAATATGTAATGTATAATTTGTTGTATTGACAACAAAGGTAATATAACAATTTCAGGTTATTTTTGTTAGATTTTAATGAACATAACATACATAAGTAAAAATTAAAAACAAACTAAAAAATAATGATACAGAAAGTTTGGGTTTTTAAGCAGTTTAATGCCGATTAAAAGTTGTCTCTTGATATTTTGTCGATTTCGGCCTCCTTGATGTGATAAACGCAATTTTTTTAATTTGCCTTGATCCAAGTCTAATAGCAGTCTTTAAAAAAATTAATATCATTAACTTCTGAAAGTTTTAAATAAGTACTCATTGATTCCTCATCAAAAAATATGAAAAAAAGTTCCTATAAACATGGGTATGGAAATGCATAGTTAGAGTTAAAGGAAGTTACAACTTTTTAAAATTAGCTTTTTTGTAATTATTTAAATACCATTATTTTTTTATTTGAAATTGCTGCAGGTTGGATTAATAGTAATAATAACTAATAGTAGGTAATAATATTTAATAATAAATTAGGTAAAATATATAGTTTATTAATTTCATTTGTATTTTGATTTTATTAATTCTGATTAATAAAATTGCGTTTATCTCATCAAGGAGGCCGAATTCGACAAAATATCAAGAGATAACTTTTAATTGGCATTAAACGGCCTACTCAATTTTGATATCAAAAGAAAAAAGTCAGTGGTGCACATGTTTTTTTAAAGATATTCCAGTGATAACCCATATGCACGTCCCAGATGAATTTATAGACACTTTTTAAGCATTAAAATAGTATAATGTAGCACTTATAGTAACTTTTACCCTCAAAATTTCATTCGAATCACTAAAAGTACTTGGAAAAAAATTATAATAAATCGAAAAATTATTAAAACTTTAACACCTTGTAGCTACGAAACAAAGCAGAATCGGACCTATGTTGATATGAAAAATAAATCTCATTTTTATGTGAGGAATCTCCCCACACGAGAGATGGCACATGCTTTTTGGAACACCCTGTATGCATTAGTTGATGATTTATACCAAATTTTTAAGGAAATTTGATACATTTCATCATAAAAATTAAAATTAATTTTGTATATTTTTTTTTTGATTTAATCTAATTCGATCAAACTACTAGAATTAATAAATTAATCTCAATAATAAATCAGGTTTATATAGGATAAATCAGAATTAAATTATAACCAACCTGTTTCTGTTCGAACTGAAAAAAAAACACAGGCAAACAAAAACTCTTCTTTCATTACGTAATAACCATTGAAAAGTATCTAATGATTTTAATTGGATGATTACCCTTGAAACATCCCATGTTAAAAAAGCAATCCGCCGGATAAAAATGGCTATAATGTCCTTCTTTATTGATATTTCACCGAAACAATGCTTCCTGCAGTTTGTTTGCGTACCTTTTTATTATTATTCGATTTTGTTGAACAAAATTTTATTGTAAATGCTTTTAACAATAATTAGTGTGGCCAAGAAATTGCGTAAAATATTTATTTAAATGACGAGAGGAAAATTAACGCTTCGTTAGATTTTCGCTATGTGTAAAAAAACAAACTGGATTTAACTTGATACGTATTTTTTTGAGCATGAGAAGTATGTAAATTTTACAATAGGATAGATAATAATTGATAGATTACTTTACCCATAGCAACTGTTAAAGTTGTCTTATATCTATCAAAAAGAGTAGATAAAATAGTAGATACGTTAACCACAAGGGTATATTAGCTTTGTTCGGGTTCTTGTTATTACCGATTCTGAACCGTCCTAGAACTCTGCAGCGCATGCGCAAATGAAATAATGTCTTCATATTTCCTTCTGCGCATACGCATCACAGTTCTAGAACGGTTCAGAATCGGTAATGAGAGAAACCCGAAGTAAGCTATTAAATGATAAAATGGGTATTTTATCGTCGACCGAAAAGATTAATTCATGAGCGATAAAATTGCGAGTCAATTAATTTCGGGAGACGATAATGCAATTTTATCGTCGTGTATAAAACAATTTTTTTTCCATAGCGAGTTACGTTTTAAAAAATATTCAGAAATTATTATTTGAAGGAATTTATTACGAGTAGAAAAAATATTCTGCTGGCTTGTATGCTGGTTTATATGTAATTTGACAAATAAATAAAGCTGTCTCTTTAGTTGTCAGCATAGACAAACAAATAAAAAGAGACTGGCAAATTAAATGGCAAAGAGAGGGACAACGTTCCCGTAGCGCAACTCAGAACGCAAAATTTCGTTCTATTTATGTTGATCTGCGCATTGCGTCTATTGGGCCCACTATCTCATTCTAATATAACAAGAGAGAAAGAAGCAGCCATATAAAACTTAATTTCTAAATAGAAATTAGAATAATCGTCTTTCGCTTTCTGGGTCATTATGACAACTAAGATGACAAATTATCATGACAATTCGTCGTTGTTAATTTTTCTTTTGGTGATTTACCTTTTTTTTCTAAACTCTCCATTTTATTGACTTATGAATATGGATAGGGAACAAATTCCTTTGTTCCATATAGGTATTTATATTTTGTTACTTATAATTTTAGGTTATACTATTTGTTATTTTATCTGCTGCAGGAGCCAGTATCATCTATTTTTTATAAGTATTGGTGCCCACTTTCTCTGATAGATATGTTAAAGACACCCGGTAAAATAAAAGTAAGTAGTTATATTTATCATCTTATTAAGAAAAAAGTAGTAGTGTCAAAAATATTTCGAACCTCTCTTAACATAACAAATTAATACAATTAATTTTTTGGGTAGTTTTATAGCTGGTTTATAGTAACCAGAAACTTTATTAATATACCTATTTTACTTTTGTTTTAGGATTAAAACTGGACTTGAAAATGGTTCAGGATCATGATTCTAGTAAAGTCTTCTTTGCTTGGATATTCACTTTGTTATTGCAATTTTATTAGGCAGTTTTTTCGAAAATAAGATTTTTAATGGCCTTTAAAAAAATTGGCCGATCGTTTCCTGCAACAGTCAGTTCTTCCGCATTTAAAATTGGTAGGTGGGTGGAATAAACACTGTTATATTTTGTTATTATATTATAAAAATTTTATTTAGTTTTATGTATAAATAAATATGTTTATAAAACAGTACAATTTTTGCTTTTTTTTATAATTTCCCTTATAATAGTAGTACTCTTTCGTTCTGAAAGAAACTGCAGATTTTCACTTAAACTGATTTATTTCCTACACCACGTTCCCTTTACGTGGTATAGTGAATAAATCAGTTTAAGTGAAAATTTTCAGTTTCAGAATGAAAGAATACTACTAATAAAGGCTAATTAAAATTTTCCGCCAGCCAGAATGTGCGATAATGTCTTACGATACGTTTTATACCTATCTCTTTCTTTTTCATATAAAGCACATAATAAAGAAAGATAGCAATAAAGACGTACGTCCTGCATGATGCAAGATTTAGTTGATTTTTAAAAACTGAGAGATTGTTTATTTATTGAGCATCAGAAGAGCAACTGTCATTTTTAAAGAAGAGAATCATCTTGACTTTTCAAAACCATGTCTGGTACTATCAAAGCAAAGATGTCCTATTTTACAACAATAGATCCAACTGTCCATGGAAATGCTATATCTAAAAATACTGTTCAGATAATAATAAAGGCAGTCGAACAGCCTTCATAGCCCAGCTATTTTACAATTATTTGACCTGCTAATTGATTTTTAATTATTTAAAGCTTTTACTGGAAAATTTTATTTTAAGTTATCAGCATCTTATGAATTATTGTTATGAGATGAACACACTAGAAACAACACAAAATGATTTTTACTGGACACTCTTGAGGAAGACTAAAAAGAATTAAATATAATACATTTGAGAGCTGTTATGAACTTCTAACAAACATAGAACCACTTTAATTTAGGCTAATCATTGGGGGTTTACTACTGAGATTAATAAAATTTATATTCAAGATGGTTAGTGTCTCCATTAAGATTTAAGATAATATTTAGTAATTATTATTATGATCATTATTGATTTCATAGTCATCAAAATAAACTTAGAACTTATTTTTCGTTGTTTGATAGAATATTAATTGAGAGTTGATTAAATTATTAATAATATTATTTGACAACAAAAAGTAAACTGTTGTTGAATTAAAAATGACAACTAATTTCATCTGAAAATAGCTATTATCATTATTTGTTTAAAATGTCTTATCTAAAACCTAGAGATAGAAGCAAACCGAATATAATTTTGAAAGAGCATTTAACTGTTTAAAAATGTGTTATTGAACAAAACAACATTTAAAACAACCAGTAACTTTAAAATTTATATTGAACGAAAGAATCAAATTTCAGTAAAGTTTATTTCTGTTTTAAACTTAAATAAATTGTTACCTTTGCCAGTCATGTCAGAACCATCATATGCTTGAGGTTGAACTTTTTAACCGTTGTCTCTGTTCATACTATCTTTACATTTATTAATTCTGATGCTTTCATATGCATCTAATTGCCTGTAATTTGAGACTTGTTTAATTAATTTTAAATTATTAAGATCTATACAATGTTCTTTATCAACAATATGTTCGGCAACGCAAGATTTATCCGGTCTACCATATCTTATCTGGGCTAAATGTTCTTTAAATCTAGTTAATATTGATCTTCTAGTTTGCCCAACATATTTCTGATTACAATCTTTACAAGGTACTTTTTTTGTAGTATGTTAATAATCTATTACATTGTAGTTTAAATATCTCAAAAACCAAAGATTTTAAACATATTTAACCCTTATAATAAATACCTTTTTTTAGCCCTAAGAATCATAATCTATCCTAATCATAAAATATGAAATAAAATATCGGGTGTTCCATAAGAAAAAATATAACTTTGGTATGGATCTTAGTTCTGAAACACCCTGTACATTTTCAGATAATTTTGAATTGTGTCCATTACCTCTCCACGCCACCTATACCCATAAAATATTTTGTTTCTACATCTTTCCGTTTTCGTATAACCAACTGAGATGAATGAGGTGCGCCACCCTGTATAATCCCTTGTAATCCCTAATTGCGGCAACTTTTTGATAGGTACCCTTATAACATCATGCGCAGAATAAAACATGCTTTAATTTGTCATATAAATGATCAAAAAATTTCATGAACGTAAACATTACGTTTTGATTAAAAACATAACGAACGTAATAATCCTACAGCCTAATATTAAGAATCTATTACGCTGTACTGTTCGGGTCGCTCTCAGGGGTCAGGGTTCGCTCTCAGGGGTCAGGGGTCGCTCTCAAGGCTTAGCCCGATCCTGTTGTGTTAAGCCACACCTAAAATTCCAAACACACGTGCTTGAATTAAGGCTTGATTAAGGTTTGCAGAGCTTCAGAATTTGCCATATAATAGCACGCAATTTGTTACAAAACCATATAAATTATATATCACTGTAATCACAAAACTTCAATCTATTTCTGTATTATAACGGAATTTTAAATTATGTCTTTATTTTCGAGAAAATTTAGTCTAAACATAAGGAATCTTTTGTTGAAGTTTGACCATCAAAATCTTAAAAATAAAGATGTCTAAAATGGTACGACAATACGGATATAGTATAATCCTTTATCTTTAGTTTCCTTTTTCATTTGTGTAAAAATACCTAATCAAACGTTAAATGCCGAACGCTTATTTTTCTACTTTTTCGGACTAGTGAAATGGGCTTTTAAACTATTAGAGATAGAGACCCGTAGACCAATTTACTCTTGCCCGTTTCCGTGCAATTTCCATTCATGAGATTCTTTGATTCATTTCGGCGCTATCGCCAAACATCCCCACGTTCAGTCGTTTATTAGACGTTTATTACAGCATAAAAGACGTCTTTCTAAATGTATATTTAAAAGTTAGTTACTTCCGCCTATAAAAATAGCGCTTTTGGGTAGATTTAGAGGCGTTTTTATACATATCTAGCTACAAACCAATATTTTCCTTCCGTTTATGGTGTCAGTTTTGAAGATGGAACAAAATCCCGCAAAATGGAAGTGGCTTTTAGGCGTGCTTCTAGTGACATCCTCCATTAGCATGGTAATTATTACCTTAGAATTATTACCTTAATGTATTTTGTATCAACCAACCGAAAAAAAACGACATCATAGTGACCTTTGAAACGACAATCAGTGATAATTTCTGTTGGACCAAACCTTATTACGTTATTTCGGTATTACATACATTAACATAAAAATTTGTCAAAATTAGTATGTTCATATCTCGATAAAAAAACATATTTTCTCTTTACCGTTTTTCAAGTAAGTCCAAAATAACCGAAATATTTTACTGTTTAAAAATACAAAAATATATTTTTTGCTAACATTTTGACTAACTGCTTAAGATCAAACCGCGAATATCTTCAAAACTGTTAAAATTTTTGAAATACTCTAAATACAAAAAATGTTAATTTTGTTAGTTATCCAGTTAATAAAAAAATAATATACAGGAAAAATAATATACATATTGAATTAAATTTTCCATTTAAAAAAACCAAGAAAAATTATTTTATATTTTAGAAAGTTTGGCGTATAATTTTGAACATCCTGTATTATTTAAGATTACAATATTTATAGCAAAGTTAAGTGCAGACCATATAAAGCAAATACCTAATATAGTTTTGATTTCAGGGCAGTTCTTGTATTTGTAATATTTTTTTAAGAAAAGCTGAAAATTATATTATATTTTTTATTTATTTATTAATATCGCTAAGACTATCGACATATATGTATATATTTACTCATATCTCAGGATTATGTAAAGTGATCTAAAAGAAAGTAAAAATTGCAATAATCTACAGGGTGTTTAATTAAAAAAAATCATCCCGGTGCACTCACACTTTTATGAGCCACCCTGTAGATGTTAAATTATTTTCCTGAAATACATCCTAGTACATACTTTAGGTTTGCACTTAAACTACACACACCGGAAAAGTCTAGGGATATTACAATTTTATCTAGCCATCGTCAGTAATTTTATTGTTTTGCATTTCTGATATAATAAAATTAAAATAAACAAATAGTTTACAGAACGTATTGGAAATAAAAATGCGAAATTTACCGAATTTTTCAAATTTACCTTGATTTTTATTAAACTCAAAAAAATACACACATTTTTTTTTATTCTAAACTGTGAATTAAAAAAAAAGATAAAACCATTTTTACTTAATAAAGGGTATGGCCTCCCCTGCTGTTCATTACAGTCCTACATCGTCTCTCCATGCTCCTGATCAGGTTGTCGGTCTCTTCTTGAGGTATAGCCACGCTGCGTTCGCGGCCCGAACCAGATCCCTACGAGTTTCACGAGGCATACCCATTCTCAAAATTCTTCTTTGAACCGCGTCCCATACGTGCTCGATGGGGTTGAGGTCAGGAGATTGTGCCGGCCAGGGTAAGATGTTTAATTGATGAGCATTGATAAACTCACTTACCACTCTGGCTGTATGAGGCCGTGCATTGTCATGCATGAGAATGAAGTTGCTCCCAAAATCATTGGCATATGGTAACACGACAGGCTCCAGAATTAAATCACGATATGTGATTCCTGTTAGAAACCTTTCAAGAAAAACGAGATCGGTTTTTCGGCCTAACTGGACTCCTCCCCAGACCATAACTGTTCCACTTTGATAAGGGTGCACTTCCTGAACATGATCCAACCGAATAAGATTTCCCGGTTCTCTCCATACCCTAAGCCTTCTCGAATCCGGATGAATTCCAAAGCGTGACTCATCCGTGAAGAGAACATTGGCCCATTGTTCATTCGAGCACTGAACATGATCTTGAGCCCACAAGTATCGTACCTCTCGATTTCCTCTCGTTAAGGGTTGAGCTCTCCAGGGGCGTCTGCTTCTTAAGTTGACCTTTCTTAATTTATTGCAGACATTGTTAGGACTAACGGTTACATTATGTGTTTCCTGGAGAATTAAACTAAGCTCTGGTGCTGTAAGAGTCGGTCGGCGTCGAGCATTTAATTGTAAAAAATGATCTTGCTGAGGGGTAGTAATGCGATGTCGCCCTGTGTGCCTTTCAGCATCACCACTTTCACGATAGCGTGCACTTAATCGCGATAATACACTTTGCGTTGTATTTAATGCTCTAGATACGTCGATTTGGCGTATTCCAGCTTCGAGCATACCCATAGCCCTTAGCATTTCGTCTCTGTTAAGATGTCTACGCTCCATAATGTCGTTTAATACTAAACAGAGTTATTTGAATGAATTCTGGCCAGTTATCATAAAAACATGGCCAGTACAGGTTAAATTCGAACAATTGATGCTAGGTGCTTTTTATATATTTGACAAAAAATGCACAAACAGTTCTGCAAATATCCCAAATTTAGAAATAACTAGTGTGACTACTTCGTTTCAATCGAAGTAGAAAAAATCGGCCTACAAATATGTGGTTGTTTATTCAAAACATTTATTTTTAACTTTAATAAAATGATATCCCTAGATTTTTCCGGTGTGTGTAGATTCCCAAGTTTTTTATTCTAGGAGCTACAGATACAGATGCCCGATGCATTCTTGAAGAACCCTGTATAATATGTGTTTTTATTTTCTTCTCAGGCAAACTGTTTTACTAAAAGAAGCATAGATCTGATCGCAGCTCACGGCCTTATATCAGACACCAAACTGCCAGGTGACGTCACGCCCAATTCCTACAATTTAAAGTTGCACCCATACCACGAAGAAGGAAACTTTAGTGGAGAAATCAGCATCAATGCCACTGTGCAGCACAGGACCAAGGAGGTCGTCTTGCACAAACATCCAGACTTGAAACTCACCCTAGTCAGAGTGGTCCAGGTTCTACCATCAGACTACGAATCTAGAACGTTAGTTGATTATTAAATTGTTCTATAAAATATCTGCTTTTCAAAGTGCCTTAGGGTACAAACATAGTGGAGGTAGGTTTCAGCTTACCGGCAACCAGCGCCGTCTCAGGGTACCTATTCTTGACCACTGGCATCTTCAAATATCGCTCGCATCCAGGGTTCGGAAAATTACATGTTACTCTTAAAAACTACATAAACTACATTACATGTAGTTATGTAGAGGGTGTAGTTTGTGTAACCTATTTATGTAACTTTTAAATATCAAAGGTTTGAGGCAGGTTTGAGGCAGGTTTGAGGAGAGGTTATAATAAGTTGAAGCTTTAGAAAACACATAATGTGTTTTAATGTTTTGAGTTTTCGTATTTTATAATAATTTTAATATATTGTGTTATCCATTATATTCTGTCTTTTTATGAATTTATAATTCTTTAGTTAAATAAAATGCATTACATGTTTCTATCAAAATGAACATTTTTATTTATATGATGTTTTTTATCTACGTATTGATATTATACAGGGTGTTTCAAAACAAATGCGAAAAACTTCAGGAGGTGATTCCTTGTTGAAAATAAAGGGTAGTTTGCTTCATAAACGTTGGGTCAAAAGTCAACCATTAGGGAGTTATCGCGGTATAAAGATGGCGGAAAAATAATGTTTTTATTTTTTATCTTGAAAACGACAAGAGATAGACCAATGAAATTTCATGAAAGCATTACTGTTTTGAAAACACACTTTCTGGTAATTTTTTCACTTTTTTAAAACGAGTGGGAAGGGTTGAAATAAACTACCCCTATCATTCTTGTTAACGAAATTTAAAGAAAAATCTTATCAAACGCATGCAAAAAAATTAATTTGGATAGTTTAGTTTGCTTAGAAACTTTTTTATCTCTTGTGTTTTTTTGATAAAACTCACCGATTTGAAATTAAAAAATAAAATGTAAAGCATTACATGTCAGGACAAAAAACATTTTTAGATAAAGAATCTAGTGGGCTGCTGTAATTATTTTAGGAAAAAATCTAGTCGGCCGCTGTCACTTTTTAGGATGTTTCTAATATTTATAAGGATTATTAATAAAAATTGCGGATTCTTGTATTTGGGGATATTTAAAAGAATTAGTTTACGCTACACCAGTACAGGATATCGAAGACCTACGAAATCGGATAATTGCATCATGTGATATAATAAGAAATAATCTTGGTATATTTCAGCGTATTAGGGGCTCAATGTTGCGTAGGATGTATTACATCACAAAGTAGACATTTTCAACACTTGTTGTAAAAGTTTAATTGTTCCTGCAAAAGACGTTGTGTTTTTATTTAAGTTGCAATATTTAAACATTATTTTTTTAACGATATTATTTTGTACTTTCATGAATTAAAATACAGAATTAAAAATTGTCTTGGTAAATAATTTTTAAGACGTTATCGTTCAGAAGAGGATGTAACGATATTATTACCAAATAAAACTGTTTGACAGCAGCCCACTAGATTCTTTATCTAAAAATGTTTTTGTCCTGACATGTAATGCTGTACATTTTATTTTTTAATTTCAAATCGGTGAGTTTTATTAAAAAAACACAAGAGATAAAAAGTTTCTAAACAAACTAAACTATCCAAATTAAATGTGTTTGATAAGATTTTTCTTTAAATTTCGTTAACAAGAATGATAGGGGTAGTTTATTTCAACCCCTTCCACTCGTTTTAAAAAAGTGAAAAAATTACCAGAACGTGTGTTTTCATAACAGTAATGCTTCCGTAAAATTTCTTTAGTTTATCTCTTTTCGTTTTCAAGATAAAAAATAAAAACATTATTTTTCCGCCATCTTTGTACCACGATATCTCCCTAATGGTTGACTTTTGACCCCACGTTTATGAGGCAAACTACCCTTTATTTTGAACAAGGAATCACCCCCTGGAGTTTTTCGCATTTGTTTTGGAACACCCTGTATATCATAATATCAATACGTAGTTCATTAATAACGTAGTTTTCATGTAGTTAATGAACGGGAAAAGACGTAATTTTAGAAGAAAAACTACACGTAGTTAACCAGGTAAATTACCTCTTAATTAACTGCTTCCGAACCCTGCTCGCATCTCCGAAAAAGCCGTATAACAATACACGTGATGCGTATACGCAAAGTTGCGAACGATGTCAAGAATAACCAAGACTAACCCAGATCGGCGCCGACTATCGAAGCGGAAAACTTGCTTGCACTGCGTTTCCACACTTACAGTATTTTTTTTTCTAACTGCGTAATGAAAAAATGATGATCAAAGCGAAGACTTGACACCCAAAATATCTGTTTTTGTTAATAGTAAAAAATAGACGAAGTACCTATGAAAACAATATAGGGATTTTTAATCGCTGACATAGACATATACCAAAAAGTGGCTATATCAAAAGTGGCTCACCTGTATAACTTTTTTTTATCTTTTCAGATAAAAAAAACGAGATTTGGTATGTTAATATATGATATAAATTAGAATTGATTGATGTATTCAATTGTTTTCGGTTACTTCCTGTTTCACCGGAAATGACTACAACTTTTGATTTTTTAAATGGCACACTCGGTATATTTCTACTTTATTCAAAAGAAAATGACACTCTGAATAGAATGACATGTCATACCAAGTCAACTTTTGACATTTTCGCATATGGTTTATTTGAAATTGAACCATGCGGTTTATAACGACAAATTGACTCGAAATACCAAGTGTGTGGTACCAAATTATTCGTAAAAAAATGCTTTTTCCAAATATGTTAATGAGCCAACCTTGTCCATTTGAAAAAATTGAATTATTATTAAAAATACGATTTCGGCATCTTTTAACCGGCCAGGACAAGACAAAAAAAAACATTAGATGATCAAATCTATTTTTCCAAGGCTCCTTGATTAAAAATTAGTGTTGTTAACACTCTAGACTGAAATTTAAATACGATTTTTTTAAGAGAGAATGTCAAAAGTTGACATATACAGTTGTTATTATATTCAGAATGTCTAGTCAGTTTCTATCCACTAAAGAGAGAGAAAAAATACCAATGCTGTCATCTAAAAATCAAAAGTTGTAGTCATTTCCGGTGAAACAGGAAGTGGCAGAAAACAATTGAATACTTCAATCAATTCTGATTTATGTCGTATACTAACGTACCAAATCTTGTTTATTTAACTGAAAAAATAAAAAAGGTATAGGGTGAGTCTCTTTTGCGAACAGATTATATAATTCTTAAAAAATGTCTATACCTATGTGGCGGATTCATCTATCCAAAAAAATCCTTATGGGTTTTTCGCCACTGCACTGCAAGAAAAATCTACAAAATAAAATAGTTATTTTTTGTAAACACTTCTGCGTTAAACCTAAACGGACGCTGCTTGTCAGAAGTTGTGTTTACAGTAATAAAAATTTGCCTAACAAAAAAAAATGCTTAACGTTTCGGAAAGTTTTCTCTTACCGTCGTCGGAAGCAAAAAAATATAAAGAATCGAGAAAAAAAACTATTTAAAATATTTAAATTGAACTATTCGAGAACACTTTACTTTTTAAAACAGATACGTCTACAAGAAATCGTTGACGTTCTGTTAAAATGACATTATATTAAGTTAAACTTCAAAATTAACAATTACTACCTGATAATTACTTAATAAGGTAAAACCAAAAAGCCCAAATTTCTGTATGATTATTTTTAAATTTCACGTATGTTATGTTTATTTATGTAATGTTCTTTAAAATCAAAGAAGCGATTGCCATACATTACTAACATCTACAGATGCATGAGCAATACATTTATTTTTATTAGATTGAATTGAAAAAGCCTCTTTTATTTTTCTTTTAGAGGCTATTCTTTCATTATAATTTTGGCGTTATTAAAATTTATTCTGTGCCCTGTGTCCCATGAATGCTGACAAATCTTAGATTTGTGAAAATCTCCCTTTCTTAAATAATCTTTATGTTCTTTAATTCTAACATTTAAGGGTCTAGATGTAATACCCTGTGAATGCGATAAATTTTACATTGGTGAAACATCTAGACCCTTAAATGTTAGAATTAAAGAACATAAAGATTATTTAAGAAAGGGAGATTTTCACAAATCTAAGATTTGTCAGCATATGGGACACAGGGCACAGAATAAATTTTAATAACATAAAATTATAATGAAAGAAGCGATAGTCTCTAAAAGAAAAATAAAAGAGGCTTTTTAATTCAATCTAATGAAAATAAATGTATTGCCTCCATGCATCTGTAGATGTTAGTAATGTATGGCAATCGCTTCTTTGATTTTAAAGAACATTACATAAATAAACATAACATACGTAAAATTTAAAAATAATCATACAGAAAGTTTGGGCTTTTGGTTTTACCTTATTAAGTAATTATCAGGTAGTAATTGTTAGTTTTGAAGTTTAACTTAATATAATGTCATTTTAACAGAACGTCAACGATTTCTTGTAGACGTATCTGTTTTAAAAAGTACAGTGTTCTCGAATAGTTCAATTTTAAATATTTTAAATAGTTTTTTTCTTGATTCTTTATATTTTTTTGCTTCCGACGACGGAAAGAGAAAACTTTCCGAAACGTTAAGCATTTTTTTCTTTGTTAGGCAAATTTTTTTTACTGTAAACACAACTTCTGACAAGCAGCGTCCGTTTAGGTTTAACGCCACAAGTGTTTACAAAAAATAACTATTTTATTTTGTAGATTTTTCTTGCAGTGCAGTGGCGAAAAACCCATAAGGATTTTTTTGGATATATAATTTTTGCCGTGAACTGTTATGACAAATTCCACGTTTTGTTTATCATTTCGGGAAAATCAACCAAACTCTCACGACCGGTTTCTGGGCCTTTACCCTTCTTCAGGTGAGCTCTATTTATATACGTAAAATTGCAAGAAAACTGTTTTCTCTTTTGAGATGCACCTGGTATATGGAAAAAAGTCGAAAAATTGTAAATTTTTGGCTATTTTTTAGCCCTATTTGAGGCCCTTAAAAAAGTAGCATACCTGGTCATAAAATTTTAAAAAATTACAGTGTGTATATAGGAAATTTAATCTATTTTTTAGAAAATATAAAAATATTAGGGTTAAAGTTGATTTTTGAACTCCTTGTTTTTGAAAAAAAACTGATTAAAAATTATAAAAAACAATTTTGATCACATTGTTGGTTTTATCAATTCCGTATATTTTTAACGTCGTTAACTTAAGAGTAACTGAAATTGTGGTGTTTTGTAGAGCAAGAGAAGATGATGATAAAAGAAGCTATAAAGTTCAAATGTTGGGAACCCGTTGGAAGCAAGTGGAAAAACAGTCCATGATAAACATCGAACTGGACACCACCATGAACACTGGAGCAGTTTTAGAGATATATCTTGAATTTGAAGGACAACTCTTCAATGACACCACAGAGGGCTTGTTCAGGAGTACCTATATTGATCCAACAACTAAAGAGAAGAAATGGTAAAGTATAACAATCAGAGAGCAATGATCTTTTGAAAAAATAGCTTATTTACAACCACATAATCTCATTTTACATTAACATTACTGTCTTATTAATGATTTAATATTTTGGAAGTATCTATTATCAACCCCCACTTTCCTCCATGTTCTCACATTTCTGTTCTTTAAGTTCTAGTGACGTACCAATGTTAAAATGCGTTCACATTATGTAAACCATTTTTTTACATTGTCTGTAATATACAGGGTTGTTCACCACATACGACACGGACTATTGTAGCTAATCGCAAATGCAAATTTTTGCAAAGTTTGCACCCATACAGCACATCAAATCACATTTACGATGTGTTTACATTATTAGATGTAGACACAGGGTGACACAATTCCCCAGATGTAAATATGCTACGTTTACACATTGTACTTCAACACGTATGCACAAAGGTTAAACGTCCGCCTCACAATGTAGCCACAGTATAGCATTTACGTATACACAAAGTAAGGGATACACAGTGTGCCGTAGGATACACAGTGCTTGTGTATTACGTTTAAACTCTGTTTACACATTGCAATTGTGACTACCGCGTGTATACGTATGTATTTTGCTTCGTATATACATCTTCTGCTAGATAAAACTACTTCTTATGAACGAATTTAAGAAATAATACAAGTTTTGATGGCTAACTTTTCGTTCTTTTTAAGAAATATTTATTCAATGATATCAATTATATCTTATTAGAACGAAAATTAGGAAGGCAAAACTTTGTATTTTCCAAAAGTATCTCGATGGTAAGTTCAAGAGAAGTAGCCTTAAAATTGTTCCATTTTTGTTTTGTATAAAATGTACCATTTTTCTTCCATAAAATGGATTATGTGGTTAAAAATAAAATTCTTATATTTCTTTATATCATAGAACGCAATAGCGCAAATAACACAATAATAATAATTATTTACACTGCAGAAACCAGAAGTAAGAAAACACTGTAAAAGAACAGAATTTATATCAAAATGTATTAAAAATATAAGTAAGTACCTAGTATAACAACATACTAAAATGGTAAACACTGGTATATCGTCACGATTTGGTGGACCTCATCGTTTAGTCATTTTTTTCTCTTCTTTTCCCTCCAAGCAGTTGGTTTGTTAGCATACTCATTCATCGAGATTAACAATCTCAGATTGACAATCTCACCCTTAAATTTTATATGAAACTGATTATTGAATATTAAACATACCTGTATATTGATCCATCAATAACTTACCGAATATCAGTGTAAGAAGTTCTTTGAAGTGTTTAAATCTTTCTTTCTTTGGTCCATTTAGATTTTTATTATTTCCAAATTAAAAAAAAATATATATTGCAGAGCTAACCTCTTTATCATACGAGAATATTTGGAGTTTTCATTCATTGGAGTCAAAATTTGGTAAATTGGGTATCGAATAAGGGAAGAGTCGTTGCTATAATATTAATAATACTCTTAGGAAGGTGTAACAAGGTAATTAAAAACTTGTGCTTACCTTAAAATCTCTTTTAAACTACACACAAACAGAACATTTATATAGAGCTTCCGAATGATAAAACAATAATGGCTGCTAACGCATACCACTCCTAGAAAGGAGAGAGAACACATAAGATACACTTGGTCGGTGTATCTACGCTGAGGCTATCCGCGCGTGCGCACACCTTCATTTCATGGTAGAATGTAGACACAACAGTACACTATTACAAAGTGTTTATATAGAAATTTATATTATGTGTATACGTTACATTTTTACAAGGTGTATACTATAGGCACAACTGTGATACGAAGTATCACACATATATATGACATATACATTGTATGTCTCATATACCGACGTTAAATTTCATCATTTTAATAATTATTTGTTACGTTACAAAAAACTCTTTAGAATCTTGAGTGCATACGGTATACAACTAGTAAACACTGTATCACACAATTTTATCAATATAAACCTGCGTGTATCTCATATGTATATGTTAGAACTAGATGAACACTTAGGTTCACTTTAACATATGTTGTTTCTCATGTGTCTCCCTTGTAGAAACGTAATTTCATTTGGACGTGCTATATGGGCAAGTTTTGGGTTCTTTGGAGGACTATTAGAGCTACAATCTAAAAATATTTTTTCAAGATACAGAGTGTCCCAAATAAATAAAAAATATCAAAGTTGTATTTTTTTAAATGGAACACCTTGTATATTATTACATTTTTAGTTTCTACGATTAAAATAAAGGCAAATTTGATTTTATCACACTTGAACGTTATCGTTTTTTAAATATTTGGGTTTTTGTCAAAATAGAGTAATAATTTCAATGCTTTATTTCTCTAGGCGTATTTAAGCTTTTAAAACCAAATATTGTACTGAAGTATTTCTGTTTACCATATTTTGTGTTGCAATAATAAAAATTATACTACCTTATACAGGCTTATACAGAGTGTCTAAAAATTTATTTTAAATAACTACTAGCTTTAAACGGCAATAACTTGTTTATTTTAAATGGAACGCCCTGTATATTTTATGACAATCAGATGCAATTGTCTATCAAACTGTATTACACCATTTTTTACCTATCTCTTCAAGTTTTCGTACAAAATACATTTTCTTGTAATTTAGACCTCATTTATCAATATATACCCATAGAATATTGACATTTTAAATTATTTTTAAAGTTGTAACCGAGGTTGTAACAAATTCTTAAAGAGTACAGATACTAATATTGTCGATATAATTTGTTTATTTCGTTAAAAAAATAAAAAAATAACTGTTAAATATTTGTTAAAGAGGATCAATTAATATGATTCCAGTATTCAAACTACATTAATTTACTGTTTGCGTTGATTAATTATTTTGTTTATATTAATAATTGCTCCAAATACTAAAAGACTGAATTTTGTATGTGTATTAGACAGTGTGGTAAAAAGGAACACCTTAAAAATTTAATTTAATTTTTTGAAGAATGTTTATTTATAACAGAGACGTTCATTTTCATAATTTATTATTATATTGATTTCTGATTCAAATCCATATTTATTTAGAATAATTTATCAAGAAACACAATTAAATATGTAATTAATTAATATTTCTGCGGATAATGGTGGTATATTTAATTAATGGTATACTCATTTATAAACATTTAAATAGTTTTCTTTTTGTAAAGAAATGGGCTAGTAATATTATCGTTTTTAGCACCTGTACATTTTGTACATTTGTTGCCTTAAAAACAATCCAAAATGTCAATATTCCATGGGTATATTGATAAATGCAGGTCTAAATTAAAAAAATGCATTTTTTACGAAAACTTGAAGGGATAAGTAAAAAATGGTATAATACAATTTAATAGACAAATAAATTGTGCATCTGATTCTTCTAAAATATACAGGGTGTTCCGCTTAAATTAAACAAGTTATTGCCGTTTAAATCTAGTAATTATTTAAAATAAATTTTTAGATACCCTGTATACCTTTAGATAGTATAGTAGTATAATTTTTATTATTGCAACACAAAATTTAGTAAATAGAAATACTTCAGTACAATATTTGGTTTAAAAACGTAAATAAGCCTAGAGAAAGGAAGCATTAAAATTATTACTGTATTTTGACAAAAATCCAAATATTTGAAAAACGGTAAGGTTTAAGTGTGATAAACCTTAATCATATTAATAATATAATATACGGGGTGTTCCATTTAAAAAAATAAAACTTTGATATTTTTTATTTATCTGGGACACTCTGTATCTTGTAAAAATATTTTTAAATCGTAGCTCTAATAGTCTTTCAACGAACCCAAAACTTACAATTTGTAAAGATCTAATCGTTTAGCTACAATACCTCGTGTCGTATGTGGTGAACAACCCTGTATTATTTTTAGGTACTATGCTACATTTTTGAGACCCAATATGGCTAGAAACGTATTTCCTTGCTTTGACGAACCAGGATACAAAGTGCCATTCCAACTGACACTGATACGCCCTAATACCATGAGGGCGATTTTTAATACGCCTGTAGAATCAACTGGTGATACCAGGTAATAAGAAAATATCTTTTTGTATTTAATTAATAATTTTTTTTTTCTAAAATAGCAAGTATTGGGTAGCGGACAAATTCCAGAGAACACCTCCAATGGCTACATTTTCGTTTGCTTTTGTTGTATCAGAACTGAGTCACATCACTTTGAATGTCAGCGATAGCGAAGGTAACCTAGCGCATTCGCCATATTTTGGAACAATAATGAAATCTTGTTATCGGGAATAAATTATTATATTAAAAAATAAATAGAACATAATTTTACCTCTAAAATAACTGGATGTAACAATTTTGTTTAATAGTTTATTTTCCAGACATAAAAATGAGAGTTTGGGCAAGGCCGGACTTCATCGAAGCCTTAAGTAACGTCACCACGAAGGTTTCCAAGTCAGTTAAGTTCCTGGAACACTTCTGGGGGTCCCCGTATCCTCTTCCAGAGTTGAATATCTTCGCTTTGCCCAATTATCAAGCTACCAAACCAGCAGACAGTTGGGGAGTCCTGTTGTTTAAGTAAATAATATATTTTTACTATGTTTTAACAAGTTTAGAGTAAGTCTGTAGATACATATTTACGACAGGATTAAGTTAATAACTGTATATTTTTTGCAAAAATTGATAAACTTTTAGTTTTTTTAGAATGTAAATTTAAAAATCTTTTTTACATTTGATTTAAGAGAAAGTGAGCTAAGCAGCAAAGGATCCTGGCATTTGACTCAGGAACTGGTATATCAATGGCTTGGAGCACTGGCCACTCCATTCTGGTGGAGTGATGCCCATATCAATAATGCTTTGGTCAGATACATCACAGCCTTTACCACATTAAAGGTATTTTTGAAGGTCTTAATCTCTATTTAGCTTTGTTCAGTCCATCGTTGGACATAAACCTCTTCTACTCTTCTCTCTCTGTCACTGAGGTCTGTCTAAAGGAAAAAAAATATTAATTTTAGATTGGTGAAAACGAAACATTTAATAACTGGCCCACTACCATGCTGTATTCTATTTACTATGAATTCAGTAAAAGATATCCACATGGAAAAAACACTGCAATTAAACAAGATTCTTCTTCGGCTAAGACAGAATTGGTGTTTAGAATGTTAAATTATACATTAGGAGAGAGTACATTCAGGCATGGAATGCAAAGGTTTATGGCTGATAGGTAACTAACTATAATTGTTTACTTTTCTAACTACTTCAAGTGTAAAATCTTGAAATAATTGAATTAGCAAATAATAGAGCTCAAATAATTCTAGTAAAGATGTATGAAATAAGTCATTTAAATTATCGGTTGATTATACAAAAACGGAAAGATGTAGAAACAAAATATTTTATGGATATATGTGGGAAGGAAATGTACATAATTTAAAATTATTTTCAAATGTACAGGATGTGTCAGAACTAAGATCCATACCAAAGTGTTATATTTTTTCTTATGGAACACCTGGTATTTTATTTTATTTTTGTATTCTTGGGCATAAAATAAGGCATATATTATAAGGGTTTAATATGTTTAAATGCTTTAGTTTTTGAGATATTTAAAGATATTTAAATTTGCATGTTATAATAAAATAGTTTGTCAACACCCTGTACATTACTTTTCAAGGTTAATTCTTGTGCTAACTTTGAAGCCAGAAAAATAAACTTTACTAAAAATTGTTATTCCTTCCTTAAATGTATACAGGGGTATTAAAAATTGCTGGTCTATTTTAAATATTTATTTTACATAAATACTTCGTTATTTCAAATGCAACACTATGTATTTTTTTTAAATAATTCGAAGCAGATTTAAATGCTCTTTCAAACTATATTAGGGTTTTCTATACCTACCTGGCTCAGATTTTGAATAAAAACCGATTTTTCAATAAAATGGCAATCAAGATTGCTGGTGTCACCATGGCAATTTGCTAGTGACAGTTAGTAGCTATTTTCGATTTTCAAAATTTATATCAGTTTAATTTTATGTGATTTACCTACAATAGTTTAATAAGTAGGTATGTATTTATTATTTTATCAAGGAAAATAAGGAAGTAGTTCTTTGATTTTTACATTACGATGACTTGTAGAAATATTGGATTTTCTATAAAAGAACCAATTAAGGCAAATTAATTTTCTTCACTTTCAACGACAGGTTTCTACCTAGCAGGTTTGTCATGTACCTCACTATCAGCTCTACGAAATAGGAAAAGTTGTTTTTCAAAGGAACGCTTGTCAAGAAAATTGATATTTGGATGTCTTTGGGCATAAACCCTTCAGGGCAACAAGAAATTTTCCTCACAAAATAAAATCACTAGTAACATATCCATTCCTTCCACCAGCAGATTCTGCTTCATTTTTCTTGATAAAATAATAAATATTTACTTATTAATCTTATTGTAGGTAAATTAAATAAAAATAACCTGTTATAAATTTAAATAAAGTCCATGAACTAATGTCGATTTTAAAAGCTTTTGAAAATTTCACATATACCCATAAAATATTTTGTTTCTTCATCTTTCCGTTTTCGTATAATCAACCGAGTCGAATGATGTGCGCCACCCTGTATATACATGTATCCTCTTTTGTTATACAGACAATTTAAAACATTCTTCGGTGATGATATCTGGCTATCCCTAACCGAACAAGCACGATTTGACAAAACTTTACCAGAACCCATCACCATCAACGAAATAGCGGGCTCATGGATCACAAAGGACCGTCTCCCAGTTGTCACAGTAACCAGGAACTACAGTAATAAAACAGCACATATTCACCAGGTACTGATACCCCAATAGCAATAAAGAATATGATATTAAGTATAATAAATATAATTTACAATGTATCACTATTAAATTCCAATGCCATATCCTTTCAGTGACTTTACCCTTTAGATGGTATCGTTAAGTTGCTGGATTCCTTATTACTTACGTTTCTAGTAGCTAAAGACACTCACAGACACTCAATTTTATCATACAGACCGCCTGTGTAAACATGATTTGTCCAGGTATATCGGCAGGTGTGTGGGCACTTTCAGGCGACTGCAGACTGTCGGCCAGACCCTGCTTGAATAAAAAATGCGCAAACTCAGAAGCCTGAACATGTGTGAGCTTGTTGAGTTTATTTTAGTTCGGTCCATAGCCAAAACTCAGTCTATTATTAACTTGAAAGAAAATATCGAACTCTAATAAACCGATTTTATGTCAGTTTAATAAAAACTTGAATTATAAAAAAACTTGTCATGTTCATTGAAAATAAAAAGTATACAGTACATTATATAGAGTGACAGGAATATTTTTTTCTGTATTGCACAAGCAAGCGGAATTCAAAACAGAACTATATTTCGGGAAGCCATTTTATTGTAAGAAATTAGATAAAACTATTAGTAGGTGCGTCACTCTGTTCATTGTAGACAAAACTGTGCTATAAAACTGCGTCTGTATGCGAAAGGCAGTAGTACAGGTTAAAGTGCGCAAACTGGCCGTGTACAAACTAAGCGTCTATGGTGTGTCTAACCTTCAATAAGTGAGTATTTGCTCAAATTCTTTTTTACTTCAATTTATACTTTATAACTTTTATTTTTTATAACATACAAGTTACTTAATTAGCATTATACATTTCCAGCGTGAGTGCAAGTAGCATTTTTTCGACTTGCGACCATATGTTTCGCTTCAACGTTGGATTAGTTACAAAAATAGTTAGCTCCTACCTTGGGTATTAAAATAAATTTAAACGTTTTTATAACGTTGTGCCGACGTTGAGGACTAGTACTACAGCAAGTAAAGCTTCTGCGACGTCGAATAAACGTTGTCTTATGACACTTTTTGCTTAAGTGATCTTTAGGTGATTCGGACAACGTAGTTACAACGTTGGACAATATAGAGTTTTCCGACTTCAGTTTCAGGACCTATTCCAACGTTATGCAAACGTCGTCTGTTTTACTAACCAACCATAGATTTCCTTATTCGTACGTTGGTAGGACGTCGAGTCACTACCTTTGCAACTGTATTGAACCATAACCTTAATTTTAAATTTTCACTTCATTGTTCTGTTCAGTCAGACCGTTCAGTGCTGTTTTTTGTTTTTTTTTTTATAAAAAACTTAATTAAAAATGGGACATAAAGAAAGGTACATATAAAACTAAATTTAAATAATAGGCATATATTACCATTCGTTATCACTCCCTCGTTTATTTATATTATAGAGGGCCGGCTAGAAAACTAGACTCTAGGATGATGATATACTACCTGTTAAACTGAACTGCGACTTTATTAGTCAGTATGCGACTACTCGAACTACTGTAATCTCCAAAGGCAAAGTGAAAGCCGCCATGTTGTTAAATAAGAAAATATTTGTTCCTAAAAATAATTCCTGCTTTTTGAATACATTAACTTGAAATATTTGACCCTAAAAACACGCGGAAACAATTTTTCGACTGCGAATAAATTATTCTCATTTTACTAAAAAAAAAATTCAAGAAAAATTTTAAACTTCTTTAATTTTAAGGCCCATTAGTATTTTTCAAAGTAGAAACAATACATTTATCAATAAAGTTGTTTGCGTTTAACTTTTTTGCCTTGTGTAACGAGTTACAGAGTCGGTTAAAGTGTTTCAATAATTATGATCTTCAAACATCCTCCACTTAAATACTTTTGTTTGTTTTTCCTTCCTGCCATCTGACTGTCTCTAACTTAAATCATAAAAATAATATTTTACTATAATTATCCCAATTTAGGATAAAACGCGACTTAGACGCCATATTAGTTTTGTATTTCTGTGATTAGGATTTTAAACAACGTTGCAGTTTGAATAAATTGGGCTTCAGCCAACGTCGGTATCCAACGTCGTTTCGACCCAAAGGGTATTCTCCAAACTGGTAGACTAGGGTTGGCACGAGGTTAATGCGCGACGTTGCCCCGACGTTTGGTCGCCGTGACACAACACTTGTCCCGACGTCCAAATGCTGCTTGGGTATTTGTAAGATAACTTTATTTTACCATAAATAACTATTACTTATTATTAAATAAGAAAACAACAAACAAACAAATATGATTTCCTGAATTTTCTAACAATGGTTAATTTTCAGAGGGTCTATTTAAGAGAAAGGCTCACGATGTACTGACCAAGAAAAGTTCTTGTGGTGGATTCCTGTGATTCATTATCAGACGGATAAAATGAATTTCTTAGACACCACTCCCTGATTTGGATGATGCGGGAAAGAGAGAAATAGAGTTGAAGAATATGCTATCTAATGATCAATTTATCATAATCAATCCAGAAGAGATAGGTAATTAGTTATATAGAGTCTTTTCATTTTCTCAAAATGGTTGCTCATGATCAAAATTAAATGTTATGAATGAAAATCAATATATTATTCATTCTAAATTGTTTATTAGTGACCCATTTCGGCTATTCAGCCATTATCAGACACCTTTGTCAAAAACTGCCTTCGTTTGACTAAATGCTACTTATATCGTATGATCGAAAAAAAACGGCGTCAGATGGCTGGGGAGTGACAATCGTTGATAATTTTGGCGAGGTTAATCTTTAGACGTCACTTACTAAAAATTCACATAAGACTCGTCAAAAATTAACGCTAATTATAGAGAGAGTAAAAAAGAATAGAATATTCCCAGACACAATCTATTTCCAAAAATTACTATTTTTTCTCAAATTTTAAACTACATAATTTAAAACTCATCCTTACTCAATATAAAATAAATTACAACCTTCTTAAGGATAACTGGCCGTAAATAGCAGTAAATAATAAAGAAAAACACGGGCCCAGCAAATTATGTCTAGGGCTTGATCTCGCCAAAATTAACGAATGTCATTCCCAGCCGTCTTTGACGCCGTTTTTTTTTCGATCATATAGTATATTAAGTGTATATGGGTTGAATTATTCATCTTCCTTAATCTCTATATACAAATGTGATCGAAAAAAAAAACGGCGTCCAGTTGCCTTCGAAATGAAGATCGATGATATTTTCATGATATAATTTATACATAAAAAAAGAAAACAAGCGTTCATTTATGCCGTTTTTTTTTACTGTATGGTACCTAGCATACCCACAAATACTTTTTTGCATTTATTCCAAGTTAGGGAATCACCCACTATATGATTTTGATCATGTAAATTGTTATTCTTATTTTATCACGCAGGTCCATTCCCTGTAAACTATGACGTAGATAACTGGAATATGTTAGCCAGATATCTTCAAACCGAGAACAGAACCAAAATTCCAGTCTATACCAGGGCCAAGCTACTTCACGATGCTTGGAACTTGGCTTACGCAGGCGACCTCAGCTTCGCTACTGCGCTGAATATGACGCTGTTTTTGAAGAACGAAAGAGAATATCTCGCTTGGGATCCAGTGTTCACACTTATCGACCACATAGGGAAACATATTGACAGTTCAGCAGTACATAAAAAATTCCAGGTAATTCTGAAAAATTGCAAATAAATGATTTTTTTGGCTACAATTTATTAACAATGAATAAAACTTATTCATTTACACTAAATGTCAATTATATTTTAAGATACTATACAGGGTGGTGCGAACTGTATTCCGGAAACGCCGGTAGCATATTCTGGAGATAAAACTAAGTAAAAAAGTTCGTATAAATGTATGTCCTAAAATGCTTAGTTTCGGAGATACAGGGTGCAGATGTTTCATTTTTATTTCTATTTTTTCCAAATAATTTCTGAAGTAACGTCAATATTTGGATGGAAATTAGGGTCTGAGAGTTTTTTGACATGAGAAATTTGATTTTGATGTCAATATGACTCCTGGTTGTAGGGGTCGCCACCTACATGTGTTTTGACAAAGGTTTTGACTGTTTTGAAGAGTAATAACTTTTCGTCCGTACCTGTATAAAACTACTGAGTAAAAAAATATATTTTTTCGTGATTTTTTACGTAAAAAATGTCTCTTGGTAAAAATCGCTGTGAGCAACAGTTCTCAAGATATTTAGAACAGAAATAGTCAATACATGTCATTATTGACAAAAAATTAACATATGTTGAGTAGATATATTTTTTATATTTTTAAATTAATAATTTTTTTTTAAAATTAATCATTTATTTTTTAAATTAATCATTTATTATTTTTTTCAAAACAGTTTCTGTAGAACTTTTGGCACAAAAACATTTCAAATTTATGATTTTACTCTAACAACTCGAGAACCATTACTGGTAGCGATCTTTACCAAGAGACCTTATTTACGTAAAAATTATCGTAAATTTATATTTTTTTATTCAGTAGTTTTACACAGGTACGGCCGAAAAGTTATTACTCTTCAAACCAGTAAAAAATATATAGGTGGCGCCCTCTACAAAGTAGGAGTCATATTGACATCAAAATCAACTTTCTCATGGCAAAAAACTCCCAAACACCAATTTTCATCCAAATATTGACGTTACTTTAGAAATTATTTGGAAAAAATCGAAATAAAAATGAAACTCCTCCGAAAAGCTTCAGAAATACAGTTCGGATCACTCTGTATATATTAAGTATATTATGTAGACGCTATAAGGATGCAAATAGATTTCTGCAAAAATTCGAATAAGAATTTGATTGTCAATTCTCAAAGCAGTTCCTATTTATTTATCTGAACTTGAATTGATTTTTCATTGTGCTATTCAGAATACTCTGTATAGTTTTTTTTTAAAAATAATAATTTTTAGACTTATGTACGCCTTCTTCTTACACCTCTCTACGAAGAACTGGGAAATGAACCTCAAGAAGGCGAATCCGAGGGCAGAGCTCATCTGAGAAGCTCATCCAAAGTATTCTTGTGTCAAGCCGGATACAAACCTTGCATCGAGGAAGCCCAGAATGCTTTCAAAAAGTGGATGGAAAGTGACAACCCTGATGAAGGCAATCCGTAAGTAAACAAAACAGGTATCTTATGCCGGGTCCAGACCAAGCGGACAAAACAACGACAAGACAGAAACATTCCTGTTTTACAACAAAATTGCGACAAATCCAATACACTTCTGCGACATTTCTGTCTCATTTTTGCTTTGTTTCAAAATTCGGGGACTTTTCAATGTCCCGTCTCGAGTCGGTAAAGATCAAAGTGTCTATGTTTTGTTCGTATATTTTACGACAAATTGTCGGCGCAGTGTGGATGGCGTGTGCTGCCAACAGTAGGAGACCAGTGAAATCACACATGGTTATTAATAAAACTCATTTGCAACAACTAAACTTTTGACTTTGTTGTACTTTTGTCCTTGCGGTGTGGACAATTTGTCTCAAGTTTGTCTTGTCAGAATTCCCCATTTTTTGTCGCAAGTTTGTCTTGTTTCTGTCTCAAAATCGTGTTTACTTTTTATCGCCTTGGTCTGGACCCGGCATTACACTCATCAGCAGCCTGAGATGGCGCACTGATTCACCATATCAATATTTTAGCATTGTTATAAAGAAAATATTTATTTTCAAAGTTAAAATTTGATGTTTTCTTCTTTTTCAGAGTCGCAAATCAGTATATTTGTCCAGTTTTCAAATGGGGTACCAATGAAGAATGGGAATTTGGATTACAAAGAATTATCCGATTCCCTCAAGGCAGGAAGCCCAGTGAAAGAACTTACTTGCTCAAAACTCTGGCAGGATGTCCTAACGATTCTTGGAAGATAGAGCGATTGCTCAATATTACTGTCTTGGAACAGAACGGAAACTTCACTGATAACGACATCTATTTGATCTTCAGTATGCTGACAGGAGGTGCGAATGGATACACCACCTTGTTCAACTTCCTTAGGAAGAATTGGGATACCATTAAATCCAGGTCAGAATTATTGAACTTTTATTGGTTTTCTTAGGTATACAGGCTGTCCCAGGTTCTAGAGAACTACAATATCTATATCAGAGATTTTTTGCATATCATTGTTTCACAACGAGATCTATCGATTAAACATATTTTCAATATGGCGGTACATCCCGAAATACCGGAAGTTGACAGCAACTTTCTTATTTTAAATGTGTACCCCCATTTTTTATTACACATTTAAATTATTTTTAAAATTTTATAAATTTTCATATCAAACACTCAAAAAATATTAAAAATTTTTGGAGGAAAAAAACAGCCTGTCAAGAAAAATTTATAGCCTAAACGTCAAATTTAGTGATAGCCACTATGACATAAAGAGAAGACATGTGGTTATCTCTTTCAAAAATTGAATTGTTCGAATGTCAAATAATATTGGCCGTATCTGTCATGTTAAATAATATTGTCCAAGCCAATGTTCTAATAGATGATATACACCTATGGAGAGCGTACAAAAATATAAATATCTATGCAGTTGGTTGACCGAAAACTTGGATCAATCAGCAGAAATAAAAGGTCGAATAGAAATAACCAGAGCATCCTGTGTAAAACTCAAAAAATATCTCTGCAGTGGAGACATCAACTTAAAGCTTAGATTAAGAATGCTAAGGAGTTAAATATTTGCAACTCTACTCTATGGTTCAGAGGTTAATAATTAACTTAAAAAGTTCGATATGGAGAAGCTTGAGGCATTCGAAAGATGGTGTTATCGGCGTATGCTGAGGATTGCATGGACTGACAAGGTTAGAAATTTAGAACTGCGACGCAGAATTGAGAAGGACGAAGAGGTGATTAACACCCTTAAAAAGAGAAAACTTGAGTACTTTGGACACATAATGAGAGGACCTAAATATACCCTGCTGCAGAACATAATAGAAGGAAAGATAAAGTGAAGAAGGAGCCAAGGAAGAAGAAGAACATTATGGCTCAAGAATTTGAGAGAATGGTTTGGAATGACTTCAAACCAGTTATTCAGAGCAGCCGTTAACAAAGTTAGAATTGCCATGATGATTTTCAACCACCATTAGGAGATGGAACCCGAAGAAGAAGAAGTCATGGAATTGAACGATCAAAAAATTATCATACATCATTTTTTTCAAATGGAAACCCCATTTTTTATTTTACTAGTGAAAAGGGTTTTTAATTCGTTACTTTTTGATTATAAATGTTCCTATACCTAAAATAAATGAAAATTGGTTGAAAAAATCCCGTTTGTAGAATTACTTTTTAATAACATATATAACATTTTTACCATTATCATAGTTCTTAGTAAAATCATTATAATTAGAATTTTGTAGACTTTTTGTTATATCTTGGCCGGTAAAACTATCAAAAACTATCCATTTCAACTATTTTTTTTCTTGTCTCGCTGTTTTCTGGTCGTGAATAATCATTCAGTCATCATAATATGATCAATCGTGGTAGTACTTATTAACACAATCTATACTAATATACAGGGTGTTTCAAATCAAATGCGAAAAACTTCAGGGGCTGATTCCTTGTTCAAAATAAAGGGTAGTTTGCTTCATAAACGTTGGGTCAAAAGTCAACCATTACGGAGATATCGCGGTACAAAGATGGCGGAAAAATAATGTTTTTATTTTTTATCTTGAAAACGAAAAGAGATAGACTAATGAAATTTTATGGAAGCATTACTGTTATGAAAACACACTTTCTGGTAATTTTTTCACTTTTTTAAAATGAGTGGAAGGGGTTGAAATAAACTACCCTTATCATTCTTGTTAACGAAATTTAAAGAAAAATCTTATCAAACACATGCAAAAAAAAAATTTGGATAGTTTAGTTTGTTTAGACACTTTTTTATCTCTTGTGTTTTTTTAGTAAAACTCACCGATTTGGAATTAAAAAATAAAATGTAAAGCATTACATGTCAGGACAAAAAACATTTTAGGATAAAGAATCTAGTAGGCTGCTGTCAAACAGTTTCATTTCGTAGTAATATCGTTACATTTTCTTCTGAACGGTAACCTCTTAAAAATTATTTACCAAGACAATTTTTAATTCTGTATTTTAATTCATGAAAGTACAAAATAATAAAAAAAGTGCATATTAAAAAATAAAAATGTTTTTTGTCCTGACATGGGGTAATGCTTTACATTTTATTTTTTAATTTCAAATCGGTGAGTTTTATCAAAAAAACACAAGAGATAAAAAAGTTTCTAAACAAACTAAACTATCCAAATTAATTTTTTTGCATGCGTTTGATAAGATTTTTCTTTAAATTTCGTTAACAAGTTTAATAGGGGTAGTTTATTTCAACCCCTTCCACTCATTTTAAAAAAGTGAGAAAATTACCAGAAAGTGTGTTTTCATAACAGTAATGCTTCCATAAAATTTCATTAGTCTATCTCTTTTCGTTTTCAAGATAAAAAATTAAAACATTATTTTTCTGCCATCTTTGTACCGCGATATCTCCCTAATGGTTGACTTTTGACCCAACGTTTATGAAGCAAACTACCCTTTATTTTGAACAAGGAATCACCCCCTGAAGTTTTTCGCATTTGTTTTGAAACACCCTATATAAAATCCTTAAGTGACTGACATACTGATTAATCACGATTCTGCTCAAACCACTCAACGTAAGAAGCTCAATTTTGGCCTACAGGTTGATTCTGGGGTGTAGAGGTTCGATAATAAGTGATTTTTCGAAATTTCAGTTCCAAGAGGGTGAAACCACCCCTCAAATATTACAATATTTTTTATTTAAAAAATGGTCAAGTTTCCGAAAAAACGCTTAAACACGTATATTTTATTTTGTTTTTTTACATATCTTGTTTCTATTCTGTTTCGAAAAATCTGGTCATTGATTAATCACGATCCTGCTAAAAGCGCTTGACGTAAAAAGCTGATTTTCGGAAAACGGATTGACTTTTGGGTGTAGAAGTTCGATAAGAAGGGATTTTTCGAAACTCGAATTCTAAGGGGGTGAAACTATCCCTCAAATATTAAAATATTTTTTATTTAAAAACCGGTGAGTTTTTCGGAAAAACTCTTAAACACGTATATTTTATTTTGTTGTTTTACATATTTTAAGATTTCTTATAAATTTATACAGGGTGTTTCATAAAATATGACCATTGAGTAATCACGATTCTGCTTAAACTGCTTGACGTTTAAAGCTGATTTTTGGCAAACGGATTGACTGTGTGGTGTAGAGGCTCGATAAGGAGGGGTTTCTCGCATCTCAAATTCCAAGAGGGTGAAAACGCCCCTCAAATATTACAATATTTGTTCTTTAAAAACGGTTAGTCTTTCGGGAAAACGCTTGGACAACCATAATTTATTTGTTTTTTTACATATTTTGATATTTTTTAAAAAATCATACAGGGTGTTCCAAAAAGTTGGGTAATTTCTTAACCACTATTCTGCTTAAACTGCTTGACGTAAAAAACTTATTTTTGACAAACGAATTTTTCGAAAGCCAAATTCCAACGAGATGAAACTACCCCTCAAATATTACCAAGTTATATAATAATATCGCCATATTGTTTTTTTTTCATGCTGATATAAATGCGAGAAAATTTTATCCAGTTTGTATGTTAATGGAAATTCTTGTTTTGCTTTATCATCACCATTTCAAATGATTAATTCGACGCGAACGAAGTCGCTGGTACACGCTAGTAAATTATATTTTGATTGGGAGTTTTTTTATTGTGTATTTTTTTTAAACATAGATCTACTTTCTTTGGTGGCTCGCACTATATATTTACGTGACCGCATTTATATGATTTTGTTTACAAAGTAATGTGATTAAAAATACTAGGTTAAAGGGTTAGAGGTTATCTTTACCATAGAGGATTGAATTTTAAAGTTTAATGAAATATATATCGACCAATGACTGTGCAATTTGTTATTTAAATAATTTAGATATTGCATTATAGTCTTTAAAATTAATGTTATGGGTACATGGCTAACGCAACTTTGTATGTCAATCCCATCAGCTTTACATGTACTTATATTAAGCTTACAATTGGACCCTATAACTGAACTTTTTTGTCTTTCTCTACCCTGGTGATTCACCTACATTATATTTTTACACTGATATTTTTGTGAATGGTAGAGTCTGTAGCATTTATAAAGGTATTTGTGTCACACAGTTCTATTTTTTCTGAACAGGAACAAATTCACGACTAGTTTCAAATGCTATTTTTAAAACTAATGGTCCAAGTGACTGATTTATTTGGACGCATGCTGCAATAATATTTTAGTAGATATTTAATTTTTAAGAAACTATTTCGCATTACTTTATTTTTATTCTAGCAAAATATATTTTAAGCGTTTTAAAATATTTTTTTTTTTCGATATTTTGAATTTCCATGTAGGAGCTCTCTCGGCAATATACAGGGTGCTACAAATTCGAGGTACGAGCATTGGTATCTCGGTAACCGTAATAGGTACGAACAAGGTTAAATTAGCGTAAAGTTGAGCTTTGGAATGTTCACCAAGATGTCATCAAAAAGTTTTAAAAATTTCAAGGATTGCTGAGTTTTTTGGAAAAAACGGATTTTCTGGAAAATAAATTTTATTTTTTCCTATCGTTACCTTTTAGAAAATCAAAAACTAATTGCACATTCTCATAGCCACTTTATTAGGGCTATCTAATAGTATTTTTAGATTTTCAAATTAGCTGATAATTTGTGATATACAGAGACCAACTTAATTTTTTTAAATACGGACCTGCATTTTTATTTCGGGTTTTGAAAGAACTCGTTTTCCTGAGTACAATAATTTTTTTTTGGTTATGGATAAATTTCGAATCTTTGAATAAGAAGACATAATGCTATTCATGTATTCATGCATGGTGGGCGGAAAAAGGACTCTAGGGTGGGGATCCTTGACAGTTCTGTTTGACGATTCATTTGAATTTGATTTGAAATTTTGTGGGTTTGTCAGTCTTTACGGAGCTTATTTTATGTTATTTATTATTTATTCTACTACTG